ACACACTCACTGGACAACATGACCGTCAAAAAACTCGATGTCTTTGGTCTGCCGAATAAACTTTGATGGACAAATCCACGGGATCCAATGAACTGCATCCTGGGTTACTAAGGAAAAAGCAAAAGGGCCCGATAAAACACATCTTAGTGTCGGTCAACTATTGTGCAGAACACAGACCATGGTTCTGCCAATGGAATATACCAGTCTGGCAAACAAATCAACAGCTGCCACTTCCTCAAGAACTGCCCGATTCAATTCAAAAGCATTCCGTACATAACTCAGAAGACTGATGATGATATAAACGGCACCAGAAGGTGGGTCAAACAATCAAGTGTCCCTGCGACGGCATTAGGTGACTGAGAGGTAAATAGGAGTCATAAACACATGCTTTAGGTTATATCGGAGGGTCGAAAACCTCACTATACATACAGTTAACCAAGACGTTTCTTCTGTGATGGGCTACGCAAAACAGGAGACGGAGTAGCAATTCACATTATCAGTCGCTTCAAATCTGCAATGCCACATAGTAGCGAGTTAACGGGGGCGGTAGAATCATGCCGGTATTACTTAGCTGCGAACGGAACAAAGTGCTTGATTGGAGGAATCGACCGGCACACACAAGTGATAAGACCCAAAAAGATGAGACAATGCAGGCGATACTGAAGTTAACACACTTCTGGTCTGACCAAATACTACTAACTGGAGACTGTAACAATTTGTCTCTTAGTCTCGGCGAGTGGGATACATCCCCTACAGGACGGTGTGATAAACTGATTAGTACGGTCATTGAAAGTCCAGCACTGACTGAAAGTGTAAGTGATTCGACGAGGTGGGAGATGAACGGGAAACTCTCAAGCTTACATTATTTGCTAACAAATGATTAACTTCTAGTTGACGGTGTCCATGTTCACGCACCGATAAGATGTAGTGACCATGTTACAGTTATGCTTAACGTGGTCACAAGCGGAATACTTTGTAGTGATGAGAATGTTCCCTACCTCAGCTACATAAGGGCACGCTAAACAACGATGACGGAGCATGCTCGACGGTCACGAAGTTAATGGAGGCCAACGGTGGATAGTGAGGGACGTCACCCATGATTCTACCCCACACAATGTATCCCAGAGTAAGCACACATCTGAAAAGAGGTCGGCAAGGACACTATGGCGTCGCAACACCTTTGTTCGCTACTTTTATGCTTCCACTTTGTGCACATTGAAAAGTTTCGATTAATTCCAAATAAATTTGCGAAGTTATTTTTTTATTTCAAAACCAAGTGAAAGTGGGTATTTTGAATTTACAGTATATGGTATAGCAAGTAATTGAAAGTTCACTTTTCAGTCGTTACCACAGTTTTTCCACCATTGTATCTCACGAAAGCGTTAATTTTCACCTAACCATGCACTAAAATTAGACCAATTATCTGGTTTTATATGAAAAACAAGAGTAATGCATATATCGTCACAAAAACAGTTTTGTTGTCAAGGCAACCAAAACTGCGCAGCAAGTAACAAAGCTATTTTAATGTTTTATATTCATGTCTTTGTTGCGGTATTGGCTGATTTTCTTTATTTTGTCATAATTTTGTGCTAGAAATAGATTAATAGTGAATATATTGAACCTATTTAGGGTTGTGGTTTCCTATGTTTCTGCTTCAGGTGAAAATAACTTCTACTGAGCTGTTAATATCACCTTCTCTTGATAGATACATAAGTCACCTAATCTTTATATTCCGAAACTAGGCAAGGATCTCAAGATTACTGCTTCTTGTACAAAGTTTCAGTTTGTAGGTTGCTGATATTCTTGCAGAAATAATTAGCATTATAAAGCAATTCATAAAACTTATTTGAATGTGTGATTTTTAACTAAAATCACTAAGTTCTTTGTCTTTGACGCTCGGAGTAAATGAAGTAAAGGATGAAATGAGACTGATTAGAAAAGACGGGCCGAAGTTGTTTGAAATAATCTAAATTTAATCAGGGTAGCTGCATTATCATTGGAGTTTGCGTGGTTTCACAGCTAAATATTAGATTTACTATAATGTAGGGAGTCACAAAGTATAGATGGATCACGGAAAAAAGAATTGTGTACATTAGCATACACTTGCCCAAATCATGTATATGTTCATTGTACTGGTTGACTAACTGTGTATTGGGTGGTCTTTTCTCTTTGTGGAAACAGACATACGCGGAGACCTAGGTTGGTTATGCAGCTTCATGTTCAACAAGCGCTATGTCGAATTACGTCAGAGATGGCTGTAACGACCAAGAAACACACCGCTATTTAGATCTTTGACATGTATATACAAAATATAACGACTCGACAACATGTAGTCATTGAAATTTTCACAACTACATCGTGCAAGTGAAGTATTAACAGCATGTACTATGCCTTTGTCGCAGCAGCGAATGCGTTCTCATGCAATTATTTCGTGTCTCGAATGATCTACAGAAATATACCTTGCTCAAGGATGATTGTGCACAACCTTAATAAAGATGTCCACTGGTCCCTCATTTCCTACATCGACCGAAAATTCAGATTGGCTGAGGTAATATTTAGACCTGGTGTATAGAATCATTGGGAATGGAGCAAACGTTAATGATCGACGTCATCTTCTTTGTTTAGGTTGTGATGGTGAGTTAGAAGGTGCATGCTCTTCGGAAGAATGTTGAACACCATCATCACGTCCATCCAACAGTCAGGCAACTGATTCCGATGCACTGAGTTTACGTACAAATCTCCAAACAGAGCTGAAGAATAAAACACTTTGAAAATGAGTAGTCTTCGTTGTTTCTACATAGTGATATGACACGTATAGTTTGCATATACTGTACAAAGAATTATCAATCACAGAAGTCCCAATACCTTATGTACTCCACACAGGCAGGCCACAAAGTTGTCTCAACTGGTAAATCGTCTCGATAATATAATATCATTGAAGACGTGCTCTATATCATGAACCGTTACTATGGCATCCCTTTCTTTACTTGAAGAATGAAGGTTATCAAACAGTGTGTGGCTGAACACAAATGAAATTAAAAATTGTCCTAATTTAACAGCTTCCGAAAAACATTACGAATTTTCATGGTGACGCATCGATCGTTTTACGACAGTTTGAGCTTCTGATAATCAAAACCCCCCATATATACAGGATACTCCTGCATCGTTGCCGCGAGGATCCTGAGCAAAGTGGGGCATGAGCCATCTGCTTCTGGTCAAACGCAGAGCTAGATAAGATTGGGGAACTTCTCCGAAGAATTCTGATTGTATTTCTCATATGGCATTAAGAAACAGATGCAACAAAGCAATAGTAGATGTTTTCAGTTCGGGCTGGTGGTCAGAACGCAAGCCCAGCACAAATATCTCTGCTGATTCATAATCAGGAGAGAGCCTAAATACCAGGAAGTCTGTACTCGGACACTGGTTTCGAGATGGGGGAGATCTTTATCGCTAAGTTTATTGACCAACTCTCAAATCTGGTGCCAGTTGAGGGGCTGATAGATGTCTAACTAACACACCAGCTACTTAGGGAATGTAAGCAGACTGCCCTCTCCAATCTTCAAAGAGCGAGATACGAGAGATCCGGCCTGTTATAGACTGGTCTCACTGCTTCGAATACTGTCGAAGGTAGTGAAAGAACTGATCGATGAAGAAATGAGGGAGTGCGTAGATAAAAAACATCCATGGCGCCTAACACGGGTTCAGGAAGGTCATCATGTACGTGCAATCTCCTCACAGCACAGGATAGCTGGACGACCTACTGGGACCGTATGATAACAGTTCATGTAATATTCCTCGATCTCACTTCCTCATGTAATTCTCATAACGAAGGTTGAAAAGATGAGTTTTATTGACCCACCGTTAACTTAGCTCCAATATAACCTAGAGAACAGGATGTTTTGCATCAAGGTAAATAAAGCGCATGGAAATTAGGGGGTCACGACATGGAAATTTTTCGCAGGGAACAATCTACGGCCTATTTCTGTCTTCGAGCTTTACTAACGATTTATCATATGAAATTAGCTCAGTGGCATTGATCTATGCGGGAAAAGCAAAGATATGGAGGACAATAAAAAACAAAAAGGATTCACTTGAGCTTTGGAAGGAACCAACAACTAAATGGGGATGGGGAGTAGAAAGTGGGCTAAAACGTAGCCTTCCGAAATGTCATGTCATGAAAATCATGTGACATTTAATACAAAGCACTTGTAGTCTCCGTGAAAATCAGCCTATAATTGGCCCTCTCAAAGTGTGATCTTGGGCTTGTAACCATAGAAAGCACAGACACCAGTTCAAAGTACTCACAGGATGCAGCTAAGGTAAACGCAACTCTTCATTTCATGAGTAGACAATTTGGACAATCACGTCAAAATTGTTTCTAATTTTCCTTCAAACGTACGCACAGCTGCGGTTCGAAGTCCACAGTGTTGTCGTACCTTCCTAGAGGCAGCACTGCGCATCGAGGAGCAAACAAGTCGGTTTGCTCTATCACCTGAAGTAACTACAGCCATCTCAGTGGATAGCCTCGAGAGAATATCTTATAAATGTGGACTCACCCATTGATCAGCCGTGTCTGATGCATGTCTCGCAGTTTTTTTACTTTTATCGCTAGTGCATGACACTGAATACTTCTCATCTCGCTTATCATCATCTTCTTTTCTCTACATCTTTTACTTCCGTCTTCTTACCAATCATGTAAATTACTTATCTTTTTGAAATGATGGTCTTCTCTTAGCACTCGAATTATCACAGCTGCGACTTGGAGTTTACAGTGGTATTGTGCCCCTCATTCTGGAGTAACTGTCGTCACTTAAACTTGGGTTGTAATAATCTTGCCATCACTGAACGCTCCGTCAATACTGTTGTGTCGATTGATTCGTTTAATTGTAGCTCAATGTCAATACTTTAGTGTGAAGATGTCACTTTTTTGAGTGGTTTTAATTATATTGTACCCCGTTAACGTCCTGCGGAAATCCAAATACGTCAACGATTTGGTTACTATGGTAGCTTGTTCTGAAAATTCTTTAGGAAATATCATGTGGTGGGGTCTTACTCCCGCCTTGAATCTTGCGAAGTGTTTCGATAGTTTTTGTTTCGGGGATTATTTTGATAGTAAATCAATAATTTTTTCAGGGAATAAATTCACAACCTAGATACTAACATACTTTGCGTAGGAATGGGTGATACAAGACACATCTTGCGAACTTTATCTTCAAGATTTTCTGGGAGAACTAAGTTCGAAACGGTAATTATATTGTTGATTCATCAATTTGTTGCCTAGTTTTACCTGATCGAACCATTTCACGAAACATATGCTCGACAAATGCTTCAGCTATATACAGCTCTTGAGCCTTACAAAAAGATAGGGCTGAAGGGTAAAATATGAGTTTGTGGTCTAATCTCAAAAGAGAAGGCAGAGATGTATCTTGAAATCTTTGGGAACGTGATGATTCGAGATGTCACATCGAAATATTTGATCAATGCTGCAAATCATTTGACAAGGTTTGATTTTTTCTGAGTAAATTAACTATCTTCAGGTTAGTGACAAATTTAGGCCCTCTTCCATCATTTGAATTTGTTGATTTGTCACATCTGAAATACAAGGAACGTGATATGCTAGAGTCTACACTTAAGTTTTGGCGTTGGAGCGATGATACAAAGTTTGATGCTGACAAGTGTTGGTAGGTTCAGTTTTGTTATCACTTTAGGAGGGATACATACCGATTTTTAGTCCCACTGCTTTGTCAGATTACGGAGTTTTGGTCATCCACTTTATAACCAATAAAATCATAAAAAAATAATTAAAATACTTGATTATTGATTTTCACTATTCATATTTGTAACAGAAAAATCTTTGCTGCTCTTTCTGAATGTTAGATTTCGATGACTTTATATGTATCCTTTTGATACTTATTTTTCGCCCTCCAAATGTCTGTCATAAAACAGTCTTATAGTTAATCTGTATATTCAACCATGCAACATCAATAAACTTAACCATGTAGTAGCCAAATGATTCAAGAGACAAAACCAATGACTATTAGCTAAGCCTATCGTTATTCATAAGTAGCCTTAAAAGAAGGTGAGGAAAATTTGTTATTTGTCAACAAGAAGAGAATAGGCGTGAATTTAGAAGGCTGGTTTTAAAATAAGTAAATACACAGTTAGCATACAGTGCATGCAATTAAACATATTTATTTTCAGTTGAACTGGCTACTATGCACAGTAGTCATAATGGTTATTTTTTGTCTATAAGCCCCATCAAGACTTTATAGTAGTGATAAATATTTCACCCATCGACTGGTTTTATGATACGCATATAAGTAATCATTTATGACTTAGATTCATAAATTTTGACATCAACTACTGGATTCACAATCATTCTATTTTGTATTTTCGGTTCTTGCTTCTAATTCTTGAGGAAAATAAAATTCACCCTGATTACTACTTAACAGTTATTGCTCAGCTTATAAATCAGTTGTTCTAAGACCTTTTATATCTAAGATATTTGGGTCCTTTCTGAATAAGTTTTGATGTGCTTTTAATGAAGACAATATGTTGGAAACTGTATAACTAAATATTTCCATGAAGGTGTACTAAGCATAAAGTGATATAAGTTTCGCAACATATGGTTTCATGGTACGCATTTTGAAACAATTTTTTCAGTCAAACATTGGGGACAATTCAATTGTTAAATAACAACCCACTTCTTTTTGGGTTCAATGTCGTTCCGGCTCTTACTGGTAGTTTTTAAACAACCAGTGGTTTTGTTTGCATTTGAAAAAATAGATTCTTTCTTTTTTCTTGTTTGAAGATAGTGTCATTTAATTAATTATCAATGTGGCAGATTGAAAGTAGTTCAAAATATGATAAAAAGTGGTTGAATCTGTCGCAGTGGTGCATATGCATTCGTTTTCTATCTTTCTTCACAGTATTCTTTCTACTGTTCTTTCATACATACCTGTTAGTTGTGTCTTTTCACACCATAACCTTGAAGTTCAGTCTTTCTAGTAATGATTGATGTTTCATCGTTTTGATTTCTTGTTAATTTTATTTAGTTATGTTTTCTTATGTTTTCAAATCAAACACTCGCTCTTGTCAGACTCCATTTTTGATTATAATTAACAACAACACGTTTAGTTTCTGATAATGTTCTTCCACTGAGCTATTGCTATTATCATTTGTCCGAAGTGATGTTCAGAACTAAGTGAATTTGTACATACTTTGTTGATTCTAAATTATCTGTTTATTACGGAAATGTGTACTAACGTATTATTGAGATTTGTGCTTTTGGATTAAATGGTATTCTAAATCTGATATTTAAACACAACTTCAAAATTCTTTTTGTAGGGATTATCGTTTACGTAAACATTTAGGTACTCGTTATGATGCTATACCAAATGTTTTCGACTGGGACTGTAGCATAACTTTACACGATCGAAAGGTAAGTACTTCTAGTCTGTTAACATAATCATAACATAATAAAATTGAAATGGTCGTAAGGGGATGTAGAGGTTTTTTAAAATTTTATTGAAATCGCGGATTGATTCAAGTTACAGCACCAGTGAAAACTTGGAAGTATTAAACACCCATCTCATTGGAGTATGGGACTTCTCAGCAGCGCTCATCCATGGGTAGTCCCATACTAGAACAGAACGTCTGTCTAGTGTTTCCAGTCATTAATTTGTAGTCTACACATTGATCGGTTCATGGTTTCAATAAAAATTGAAATAACTATTAAAATTTACTCATCAACTATATAAAGACTTGAAAGTATAAGCTATTAAGAAGCCGTGCAGTTAAATTGAACAGTTATCTATTGTTTCCTGTCATGTTTGTTATATTTATTTCGAGTGGCTTATGTATGAAAGTTCTTTATCTAGTTTACTTCATTTCCAAAATACAAATTAATAAGTAGTGTGATCTACATGAGATGTAAAGTTTTCTAGTAATATCAGGTTTGGGATTGTAAAATTATAAACTACACTTAAATAATTCCATGGCTTGTGAATAGTCCGCTAGTTGATATTAGTCCATTACAAAAATCATCTGCATAGAATACTTGGTTAATTGCCTGGTTAACTTTGGAAATTCATATTTTTAACACGATATTTCATTGATGTTTTTGATGTAACAGTATGGTATGCATTTGACCTTGAAAGTTAAATGGTAGAAAATTATGGTAAATTATTATCATCACCTAGTTAACAGTGTTCTTTTAAGGACAGATGTACAAATATACTTTCCTTATCATATAATCTTCATATTTCATGTGAATAATTAACGAATAAAGCACTGTTTATTAGAATGTTTACAATGAAGTACTACATTTACACTATTGTTATCAATTTTCTTACTGCTGACATTTGAAATGAAAAATGGTGTCTCATAATTCTTATTGTAATCATATCCATTTTGCGCGATAGACTAATGAAAAATTCTTTCCGTGTAATTTTTTTCAAGGCTACTCAAATAAACTCTAAAGAATATGCTCATTGGCGTCAGTATGGGATGGCATTCGAACTTCGAGAAGCCAATTACAACGTTTCAAATAGAAGTTTAGCTTCCGGAAGAGTTTTCAGGAATTCAGCCGGTGATAAAGGAGTTTACTGGGGGTATTGGGGTGATATAATCTGCTCACCATATTTGGTGTTTGGTATAGATACATCTGAATGTAGTGAATTAAATCGTCTTGTTAATGGGAAGCATGCATACGCGGCATCAACAATATCTGAAGTGAATATACGTAAAATGTTCTGGGAATTAGAAAATCAAAAAGCTTGCCCATTACATATATCCGCTCCATTTTTGGATCCATCAACAACAAATGATGATATCAGTTTCTCTGACGAAAAAGTTAGTTCACAAAATGATCCCACAGTAGAGAATAACACAGATAATAGTAAACAGAATATGAGTGTTGAAAATAGTAATTCTGATGACTGCATATTCATGAGGTGTAAGTAAATGTAAAATCTTTTTAGAATTGAACTGGATAAAAATGTATACTTATTTTTTTACAATATATCAGTTCTCTGGAACTTCATTTTTGGCGGTAACTTTACCAACCACTGTTATCAGCTGGCGAAAGTTGGAACATTAAAAAGAACTCATTTTGTTCAGTAACTAGATCGGAATGAGGATCTAAGTTCAAATTCTATGATTTATATTTTCCACTGTTAGTCAATTAGAAAGTTTGGTTGATTGTCATCTAGTTTAACCAGTAAATAACTAATTCATTCTCGATTCCTTAGCAAATAATGCTAGATGCTGAGATAGGCTATTGAAAATGTTTTCAAAATACCGAAGTTGGTATTTTGGACGATTTTGCTTATGGAAAACCAAGTACTTTCGTGTGCAAATATACTATGTAATCTTCTCACTAATTAGACATTTGAGGTGGCAGTGCTTTATTATTTGATAGATAATTAGAACTGATTATTCCATCACGAAAGTGAACTCAGAACACAAATGGGCACTCGCGAAAGGCGATGATTATGTGTTCTGTGACGTTATGGACATAACACAATCGTTAGCGCAAATCCCGAAAAGAAGTGAACTATTCTAATCTCTTAATAAGTTGTTAATAGTTTGTTATGTTAAAATGAGGTATTTTTTATTGTTATTAGTAATTTTTCCATCATCACTCCCAGGTATATTTCGATCATCTCTTTTTATGATCTGATCTTGGAACTTTTAGTTTATTGTCATTATTTTTGTTAGTTGGTAGACTGAATCTACTTCAACAGGTTATTGTTGACTGAATAAGATCGTAGACTATGTTTGTGAAAATTATTTGATATTCTTCATGTTATCTTTATACAGCTCGTGAAATCATGTATCATTTTTTACGGGGACTACGAAACGAAATGAAAGACCGTTTGTGATAGTCTATTGTATTTTCATTGTCATTTTGATCATGGGAATTATAGGAAGGAATGAAAAAAACTAACAACGCACAAATGAATACATAATCCAATTCAACTGAACAGTGAATTGAATAATAAATAGAAAGATGGTTAAAACATTTTGTTGGGATGGCCACCGAGAAGCCACCCACGTACATAGTCGATTGACTAAGTTATCGATTAACTTATCGATCAGATGTTAAGTATTTGAATAGCAGTCAATTGATTAACTTATTGATGAATGTTTAAGAATTTTTAAATGACAATATTGATTATATATATAATTTTGTATAAATACTCATGTTTGATTGTATATTGATTCTTGCCAATAAGTGCTCACAACGTCTTTCATCTTCTTACTTGCGAGCGGTTGGAGGTTATAACGTTCGAGTGTCATCCGTTATAGAGTCTTTTCGTGCGTATTCGAGTAGAGAACTTAACACATTTTATCCTATAGAAATTGTATATATAATCACTTTTGAGTTTCTTCAGTTACATTTACGCTGTATTTTTTATAGCAGAAAAATTAAAAGAAGAAGAAGAAGAAGAAGAGAAAACATCAACTCAAGCTAAATCGAATGAAGAACCAAAACATACTGATGAAGATTCATTTACAAAACAATTCGACAATACAGAATACGGTAATAATATTATCTATTATCATTAAGTTTGACTGTTTTGTTAATGAAAAATTATTTCTGTTTATTTGGGAATTAAATAAACTAACTAACATCAGTCAGTCAGTCAGTAAGAACGTAGAACTTCGTACGTATGCACGTACATCAGTTCAAGTTGCCATACCACATTAGCACAGAGATGCAGTTGTCGATTAAAATCCCGTAGTGGTAGAGGTAGTAAAAGTATAAGCAGTAATCGGAAATATTAGGGTTTGAAGATTTCATTCAGGAAGTATAACCGGTGAAAGAAAAGAATATGAAGAATTCAGAAGATTAGAATTCGGGAGAACACAAAGAGTGGATGCACCTGCACCATTGCAAACGATTTTGAGCCATGTCATTCAAGATCTCTCATATACATAATCAATTTACTATACTGAATAGATTCAATAAAAAATTCTTGGTATAAATTCATATTGTACATGAAGATAAAATGTTGAGACTATAATTTATTAACGAACCAATCGCGTATAAGATAAAAAGTTTTAGATTTTGGCGCAAAATGCACTCATTAATTTGACTAAATAGAGGTTTGGCATTATAGCTGATGTCAGTTCGTGATGAAAACCCTAAATCTAATTCCTAACCGTAATCATCAATGGTAAATCATTATTCTAATTCCTCATACTGGTTTATGACCCTCATTTGATCCTAGTTATAAGGGGGATACTTTCAAGGTCAGTTTAGCCTCGCTTAAAGATCGTCCATAAATTATAGTCACACCGATAAAATAATGAATCAAAAGAATTATCCTCATGAAAATGAGAAAACAAACGAATAATGAATTGTTTTCTACAATAGGTGACAATGTTGTTGTGAACATTTTTATAAATTGATAAAAGAAGCTAATTGTAAGTATAATTTGAAGGTAATTTTTGTTAATGAAATAGTATCATTTAGAGAACTATATCAAATTCAAGAAGCAGAGAATAGATTTTAATTATTATTATTAGTAGTAGTACTACTACACTATAATGTGAATTCACAACATCATATTGAGTTAAAACTATGATCTTGAGGTCTCATGAGGTGAACCACTTTATCCGATCAATGAGTTACCGTTTAACAGTCTGTATTTGTATTTCCTATCGGTCATATTAAACGATATACTGGTTAGTCTATTGGCAAAAAACCATATTTGAATTAAACGAGTCTTCATAAAGTATACCATAGTTAGAATCTGTCAATGGAAAGTTAATCCATGTCGATAGTAAGATTCATGTCATCGACAAGATTAGATGATTGTTTCTCTGCATTGCAGATAAACTTAAGTTATAAATAAACCATAAGATTCCAATTCGATTGTCAAAAATATAATTTTTTTCATGTGATTTGAACGTCTAAGGTTCCGTTACGTTCTCATTAATATCGAAGAGCCATAAATTGTTACGAAACGATTATTCAGAGCACCCTCTAGTAAGCCAGTCATATGCAACCTGGAAAATGTGTACATTGGTTCAGGTTCCGACACTATGCATCAGCACAGCACAATCCTAGAGTAGTATAAGTAGGAAAAGTTCTATCAATAGTAATACTTAAGCATAAAAGGTATGGATCGAGAGAATCTGGATTCCTTTCATAGACATTTTTCAAAATAACAGAAAAACTCAGGATTTATGGGGGAGACAGAGAGTTAATACAGCTAGTAACTGCGGACGACTATGAGTCATGCCACTCACTCCATTACAATTGGTTGACAAAAGCCAGGGGAACATTACGAATTCGAGCCCAGGTTCTGTCAGATACCGACTCTCAATGACTGACGAAATTTGCAGTATAAACCAAGTGGTTGACGCCCTCAACTTTTTCACCCCCTGTCACCAGTTAAGGTGTTGAGATAGACCAGTCCTGGAACAACAATTGTATTTATAGTGAAAGAAACCGACCTTAACATGCTCGGGTTGTTGCCCATGATCACCAGAAGACCCTGGATTTTGTCGAAGTCTTCACCAAACAGGACTGTGTCATCTGCTTATTCTAAGTCAGCAAGTGAATCTCCAGGTAGGATATGAATTCTTGAAAAATCAGACAGTAAGAGTGTTATTTCTAAAGGTATATATGACGAAGATAGTTAAAGATGAAGAGAGCTAACAGCCCTGACAAACACCACTTGATATCGTCAGTTCGCATTTAGCTCCAACTCAATTAGCAATGCTTGAGTAAAAAGTCTGTTCAGGGTTAATGTACTTCTTTGGTATATCTTCCAGTGACAGAAGGCTGACGATTTACGAAGCTAAACGCTGTCTTAAGTTCAAGAGGTACAACTCTTGTTGGGAGTTGGAAGGTGTGTCTCTCCTTTCTGGAATCTGCTCAAGAGCGGATGTTTGATTTACATATTCATTTTCAAGTCGGAAACCAGGATGCTCTTCATAAGTTTGCTACACACAAATCCTACTTGAGCGTCGGATGACTATTAAGGCTAATGTTAGAAACATCATCTTGAGTTATTATGATTTCTCTGTTGTTATCACCATAGGATTTCTATCCTTTTTCATAGGCTAAGATGATCGACAGTTGCTACCGGTCAAAGCTTTGTTAGCTCTACAAAATATTCTTCTAGTTTCTTTTATGGAGGGAATTTATTTCAAATGAAACAAAGCATTCACAAACTGAGAATATTAAAAGAAATGTAAAGTGGATTACATTTAACGATTTTCATTAGTAGTTGGACTATACCAAACAACATATTCTCCGAATCTACTTAATTAGGATTTTATTACAATAGAAAACAATTCATAAATGAATTGATACATTCTTATTTTGTTAAATTCGTTTTCAGTATAACACAAACATCTTTGTGCAAGCTATGATCGTTTTTAATCTGTAAATAAGAGTATACTATACATTTCTTGAGATGAAGATCATTAGATTCATTGGCTTTTAACCAGATCAGTGAATTTCAATACACTTCAGTATTATCAATTATATTGATAGTAGATTACTACGTTTACTGAGCAGCAGTTCGTTCCGTCCCACTTTATAGTTGTGAAACATGGCCGGTAAAAGTAGAGGGTATTTGTAGGTTACTAGTATTCGGTCATAGGTGTCTTCAGAGTATTGCTCGTATATCCTGGAACCACCGAGTAAGTAATGCAGTTGTTAGGAAACGGGTACTAGGTAAGGATGGCAAATCAATTGATAAAGTAGTGAAACTTCGTCAGTTGAGATGGCTAAGACATGTCTTACATATGCCCGACCACCAACTGCTCCAACAAGCAACGTTTTATGGTGTAGGAGTAGGTTGGAAGAAAGCTAGGAACGGCAAAGTCAAAACATGGGACCACTCCATGAAGTCACAAATGGACTTAGTCATTTTAATAGGTATGGACTACATGGTTGGGGTCCACGAGATGGCAGCAACCGATGGTTAGAGACCTTGAACGACATGGCTCAAAACTGTCTACAATGGCGCAGGTGCATTCACTCTTTGTGTTCTCCCAAACTTTAATCTTCTGAATTCTCCATGTTCTTTTGTTTCCTCTTCCAAATTTATTTCACTGGATTATACTCCTTGAATAACATCTTCAAACCCTAATATTTCCGATTACTGCTTATACTCTTACCACCTCTACCACAACGGAATTTGAGTCGAAAATTGTATCTCTGCGATATTGTGGTATGGCAACTTGAACTGATGTACGTACATACGTACGAAGTTCACCATTGTTGCTGACTGACCGTTTGCTTCAAACTCCAACTCTTGGATGTAGGTACATTCAGCTGACGAGTCCCAAATAGGACGAAACGCACGTCCTGGATTCCACTGCTAGCCGCTATCCATCTTTGCTTAAAAAGCTTGTGACTCAAGGCTATATCGAGGCAATCCGCACAGGATGCACATATGCCAACATGAGACTGATCAATCGCAGTCCTAAATAACAATGGGAAGATACAAGTAAAACTACTCCAAGTGAATTCAACTGATAGGATGCCTAAATATTGATCATGTCTATTCTGATATTCACTATGAAAATGTATTTGGAACTTGAAAAAAATCATATTCAATTAGTAATTCAAATCACTGTCAAATATTGTTTCCCTTAGGTTTCAAGCTAACTATTCAACCATAGGAACTAATCTTTTAATATTTCTAACCATAAATTTAATCAACAGAGAATGAATTCGTAGGCAAAAAATATTGATTCTATTCTTGGCAATTCGTTTTATACATTCTAAATCCGAAAAAATAAACAATAATAATAATAATAATCAACCATTGACTTACAAATGTTTATCATCGCAGAAAGTTGTTTTTATTTACTTACCTTAGTCGTAAGTATGGTTGCTTCCAAAATGGAGTTATGAACTGTTACTCATTAGTTAATTGCAGAATAATAAATAAGAACATTTGTCTAAATTTGATTGAATAGTTTGACAGAGATATTTCCTTGAAAAAGCTTGGACCGAATTGCTGGGCGAAACGTTGAATTTACCTCAAAAATTCATTCGCTGAGACTCTACGAATAGATTTCTCCTCTTTAATGTTACTCATTAGTTTTAAAAACAAAAACTGAAGAAAGAGAGATAATTGCTCACAAGCTGACTAAATTTAAAAGTCAGTTGGTTACTAGATTATTTTTTTTTCTGTTCTATCTTTTTTTTCAGTTCCATTGGATATTGCAAACACCTTCAAAGTTAACTTTCTTCCATGTAACAGTTTTTTAGACTTACCTATAAGATACCGATCTTTATTTCTCACAAGTGCTGATAATAACTCATCATCATTAAACAATCGTTTCCGAATAATTTACATCGGTAACAGTTTAATTCACTTATTATCTGATCTGCATAAAAGAGAAAGTAAAAAAGACAATGGATTACATTCCAAATTGAATAGTAATCTAGATGAGAAAGAATGTAATGATAAATTAGAAGACAAGGAAATTAAATCAAATGAAAGCATTTTAGAAAATGATTTATTTAATACTGATATATCGAATGTTTCATTCACTGATCTTTTGGAAGATGAAGCATTGCTAATCGTAGAATCTATTTTGTGAGTTTGAAAGTTTTATCCATAAATAACATTCGTTTTATTTTACTCACATGATAGTCCAATGTTCAAATTACGGTTTCTCTCAGTAATATTCTCCTTTGATTATATCAATTTCTTTATAGATTTAACGTGTGTGTGGACAGTGGAAATAATATACGGTCATTTGAAGTTATTCATCTTTCTCTCTTCATAGATGCATTTATTCATTTGTTTATTTTTGAGGATGTTCTTATTTGTGGTTCTCCGTAGGAATTAAGCCAAACTCTACACGCTGCAAATGGTGAGGGGAATAAAGTCAACTCAAGTTGAGTTAGATCATGAGATGTTTGAAACGACGAAACCCCTATACAATTAGATTGGAAGGTTACTGTCTGTTAGTACGAGCTGTGTATCTCAGATTAGAACTTCCAGGTAGATTACAGGCTGTAATAGAACTCAGTTGTTGGAAGCCATAGCTTTTAACGTTGTAAACCATGAATTTTCGGTTTGATACTACTCAATAATTTCTAAGTATTATTGTTAATTATGAAAATTTAACATGATGTATTCTTGTGAGAGATTTTAAGCTGATATTCAAGTAAACTGCTGTCTATTTACTACAACAAAATTTTAACATAAACTTTCTTTGTTAACTTGGTTTCTTAATATTCTTCTACACATTTGAAGGTATATAGTGGAGGTTAGGTCCGAACAAATCAAAGCGTATTGTGAAAATGTTAAACAAATGGCTTGTGATCTTGGTTTCGAGGTGAGTTCAGTTATGAAAGGGATGAATTTTACTCTAACTGACTTAATTACCATGCCTTACTTTTTCATTACAATCTTGTTTAAGGACAAGTTGATGATCAAAAATGTGTGTGAATATTCTTAAGAAAAGAGTTAGTTGTTCAGGATATTCCACTACCTGAGGAAATAAAAACCTGTTTATTAGCTAGTTCTTCAGTTGATATGTTGACTAAGATGTTAAGATATCTTTAAATAATTACTTATCGATACTTTATTTACAGTAAAACCAAAATGAAATTTATTTTTAGTAAACGGTTGTGAAGATTGTTGAGTTTTTATTCAGGGTAATAACTGATCAATGTGTGGACCAAGATTAAAAACCCGGAAGTACTGAACGTCCGTTTTCTCCTAGTATGTGACTCGTGGGCAGTGTGCATCCACGATTCCGTACGTGAAATGCGGACTCAGGACCTTGGGTCTCGCGCGTGAACGCTTAACATCCAGGCCACTGAGTCGGCATCCAGCGGTGCTAAAGTCTAACTTCAACCAATACACGAAATTGATCGACCATCTTTTATTGTCTTCATTGGGTAACTGTCTTACAGGCAACACGGAACACTATTAAAGATGGACGCGCAGTATCGTGGATTGGTTGGCTTTAGACATTAACACAGTTGGATGCCGACTCAGTAGTTTGAGAGTTAAGCGTTTGCGCACGAGACACAAGGTCCTGGGTTCGAGCCCCACGTACGGGATCGTGCATGCACACTGTTCACGAGTCTCATACTAGGAGGAAACGGCAGTCCGGTGCTTCCAGGTTTTCAATCGTGGTCTAACATTGATCTCAATTAAAACGTTTTCTATTTCTTCATTAACCTAAGATATATAGATATTTGCATTTCTCTGGAAAATACAAAGGTTTTTGCCAGAAAGTCGTGATTTTGTCTTTGTAGGGTTGTACAGATTGTTCAGTAAATCTATCACCACCATACCTAGTAAAAAGTAATACATCTTATAACTTGATGCTCACCCATCTGTTAATAGTACTACACCTTTCTTTTTCTAAAGATCACACTATGTGTATTAAATGGTAATGAAACTAAGGAAACTTACTGTTGGTCTATGTGCGAAACAGATCTCTCTTGAGAAAGTAGGTCGAACATGGGCCTTCTGGATCTCTGAAATTTGATAGCTAATAACAGCTGGCACATAGGTGAGAATGGGAATGGAGAAATTAAATTTAAATAGAGAGAAAGGTGATACGGGTATGATTTTACAGTTGTTTTGCCTAGTGATAGGAACTATGATATCCTATATTCTGAATAGTGCTGGACAGACCACGTGCTGTTGCTTGACCACATGGTGAGTGAGGATTGCGAATATAGACAGCCCATTGTAAAAGCTTTATTTATATCTCCATGGTTAGGACCCATTATTTCTGTCTGGGTCATTTTTTACAAATGAATATGAAAGAGTTGTACGCATTAGTATCCACTTTTGGGCGGTACAACTTTCCATGCATTCTTAGTCTTCTTACTCTATATGGTATAATATTCGAGGGTTTAACAAGTGTTTGACGATATCTAAAACAGACTGTACAGAACAACTACGTTATAGAAACAGAGATCATTCACCTAACTTGTCGTAAGAAAACTGATGTCAACATCAAATCTATTTTGGGGCGATAGAAGTTTGATTGTACCAAAATATAATATTGAATAAAGCCATAAATAAATAAATAAATAAATAACATCTTAGGATAATGAATAAGTTATCTCATTTGTAGCTTTGGGAACTAATGAAGCTTGCCTAGGAGGTTTTTCATTTCAATGAAAAATATCAGTGTTGGTATGACCAGAGAACAGGTAAAGTGCAGATCCACAGGGATTTAAAGCCTACTTAAGTAATTGGGTGACTAGTTAAAAACGTTATTGATTACAGTGATTTATAACCGTGTATATTTCTGTAGTACACGATAAACAGCTTTTTCTGATGATCAATAGTAATTCAAACTGTTCAAAAAAACAGTAGTGTATCTATGAATCTTGTTTCTATTACGTTTGGACTAAAACTGAGAATTTTTTATTTTCGGTTCTGTAATTAGAATATAATTAGAAGTTTTATTATATACACCAACGAATTTCTAATCCATACGACGTGTTACGTATGCCGGAACACCGATTATCACGACGCGCAATGCTGACTAGTGTAGGGGATGGTCGGAAGGTTAGGGGCGGCCAAACCAAAACATGGCATCGGTGCTTGAAGTCACTAACTTCTGGTCTGAGCCATGTTGGTGGGTTCAGTCTACTTGGTTGGGGTCCGCATGATTATCGTAACCAATGGTTGGAGACTCTTGGTGACATGACTCGGAATCGATCACAATGGCGTCGGTGTATACACCCTATGTCTTCCTCTAAACTATGAGATTGAAATTGTTTCATATCTTTCTTTCCATGAACTAATTTTTTCTTTCTGTACTATCTCCTTATATGCAATATTTCTTTCACATATTACTACCATTGAATTAACTACTTCTATGAATCTGGTGTTCATATTGCTATGCTAATGCGGTATGGCAACTTGGACCAATACATATATGTGCCTGGTCCTACCTTGTAGCTGAATGACTGACATTTAAAAAGTGATTTAATTGAGTTAATGAACAGTTATAATGTCAAAATATGTCTTTTTCTATCTTTTTTTCCTTTTTATTCTAGTCTATTAAAGAAATAAAACCAATGGAGGATCATCATTTATATTTTCGGTTTAGACGGAAATTACAATAACACTTAAATATAATGTATTCAGTAATATCATATGTATGATTATATTGAAACGTACTATGTATTTCACAAAAGTTCACAACTTTGAAGATCCAATAAATGTATTTATATTTGTGTATTTGTTGTCAATTATATTGTAATTATGAAGACAATAGCTATTCAAATTGATACTTTCTCGATTATAAAATCTAAAATAACAATAATTTACATTTACTATGATAACCTGAGCCCATAATTTCAAACCGAATAGATAATATATTCATGGTTCTATAATGAATAAGAACACCACTTTGAGACAATCGAAGAAATCTATCAACAAATTACAGAACTAGTTATTAGAATCTAACAACTATATAGTGAATCGTTAGTTTGCAAAATAACAATCCTTCAAATCAAACTGGACTGTTTCTGATGCAAACATCAATTGATTGTCTGACATTTCATTGTTCATGAGTTTCCATACAAATTCCATTGTGTTTCCACTCTTTCTTTTTTGATCTTCCCACATCTTCTGCTGCCAGACATTACGCTTAAAACCCACGTCATATACTACTTATTATATCAATATAAGATCTCATTAAAGATCTAACCCAAGATATTCAAATCTTGTGGCGAGAGGCCGATCTTTAGATCACTGAGTCAGAATCGAATGATTTATTTGTTCAAGGTTGACCAACTTACGGTATTAAGCAAACAACTTCCAATAGCATGGGGTATCCATTTAGATTTGGTCCCGGTGGGGTTGTGATAGCTCATTGCTTAAAAGTCTTAACAGAGCAACACAGCTTCCCCGTGCTTTCAAGTTTATAGTGTTGGTTTGATTAAGATCAATCCCTGATGTTAATTAGAAAATCAATAATTTCGATGAACCTATTCGTAGTAAAACGTTAGTTATATTGCTATCTACTTTTTCATGAAAGAAAAAAAACATTGAACTTCGTTTCAAACTAAAAATTCAAGTTATACACAATGCCGAACACGCATTCTTTTGCAATCCTGGAAGAAGATGGCCAAATGAATTTAATGTGTATACAGTTTATCTTCTGTGAAAGGTTTTTGTTTTTAATAATACACACTTTTAAAACTGAGTTAGTAGTAGTAGTAGAAGCAGTAGTAGTAGTATAATTATGAGATCTCCTTTTAATGATTCAATACAATTTAAGTGAGATTAACTGAAATTTGTTATTATTACAGTAACGTGCCAACAGGTAGTTTATTTTCGCATATAAAATGAATTTATAGGCGTGGTTATATGTATACGTAAAGGGAAATCTATTTGTAGCATTTGAGAATGATAATAAATTTGTTACAGTAGTTGATTTCACTGATAATTCTAAATTTTTTGTTTACTTAGTGTTGATCAAACACATTTGTATGGAAACTTGTATCATCTTAAATCATGTTGAAAACTAACTTCAATTTGAACAATGTCTAGATACCTCATACTCTAATGTTAATCATGTACTTATACATTACCTTCTTGATGGATTGCTAAGTTCGCAGTCAGCAGATAGGGGTCAAATATTTTGAGAACGAGTTAGATACAACTAACAACAACCGATGGTCGTGGGCTGACTAGAGTTAAAAACGTGAGGTATTGAAGGGTTCAATCATCTGTGTGACATATTTCGAATTTTGATGCCCGTTCGATTGATTTCAATCTATAATATAAACAATCTCCATAAAACTTCCATCTTCTTTACCAACTATAACTTGATATATTTTATTGAACAATGTCTGATTGATTGAGTGGTTATATAATTTGCGATTATTTACGACATCATACAATTTATTTATTTTATCATTATGCATTTTCGGAAATGGACTTAAGTTCTTCCATTTTGGATGAACAATAAACTGGCTGTTATGGGATCGTAACTGGATGTCTGGTCTTTTGATCGAGAATTTCTAGTATGAATAATGTATAAGGTTTTCCATTAAACAGAAGTCATAAATGAATATAAAGCATTCACTCAATGGCTTCTAGTTTACAATAATTGTATCAATAGAGTCTGTACATGATGCAAGCTATTTACAAAATATGAACAGTGATAATATAATCATTATTTCATTTAACATTATGATGGTAGTCAAGGCAAAACAAGGAAAGAGTATGGACTGAAATCAATATTATCAAACAAGATACTTAAACTCCAACTGTAGCTCTTCTAGGTTTACTGCTGGTCCCAATTCCGGGTTCGGGCTTGGGGTCAGCAACCCTATCCCGTAGAAAATAACTTTGTTATAATATACTAACCAGAATAGACAAATTAAACCATTTAAACTCTGACCTGGAAAAATGGACATCTCATCAAGTTACCAAAGAAAGGAGATATAAGTAAATGTGAGAACGACAGAGGCATCACACTACTGTCAGTACCAGGAAAGGTTTTCAACAGAGTGTAGACGTCCAACTTCGAGATCAACAGGCTGGATTCCGTAAGGATCGGTCGTGCACAGACCAAGTTGCGAGAGTACGAATCATCGTTGAACAATCACTTGAATGGAACTCGTCACCATACATCAACTCCCTTGACTATGAGAAAGCTTTTGACAGTGTAGATAGGAGAACCCTATGGAACCTTCTTCGACACTATGGTGTACCTGAGAAGATCATTAACGTCATCCGGAATTAATATGACGGACTACACTACAAATTTTTACATAGAGGGCAGCTAACAGACGTATTTCAAGTGAGTACTGGAGTTAGATAAGGCTGAATACTGTCCTCCTTTCTCTTAATGTAGAAGCTCCGGAAGATGTAGAGACCTTTACGTATCTAGTCAGTAGTTGGCATAGGTCATTCACCTGAATCAACATTAGGTTGAACAAAAACTCAACAACCAAATAGATTATGGTTTAATACGAAGTGTATACTAAAACCAAGCCTGTAAAGTAGCATCATCGATGAACTAGGAGGATCTGATGTAGACGTCAAGGCAAGGATTAGCACAGCAAGCACAACATTGCTATACTTAAAGGACATATGGAGCTAAAAACAACTGTTAACCAACATCAAACTCTAAATTTTCAATACGAACGTCAAGACAGTTCTATTGTACCGAGCTGAAACTTGGTGAACTATCATCAAAAATCTATAATTATTTGTTAACAATTGTCTGCGCCAGTTACTCAATGTCCGTCGGTCGGATATCATCAGTAACAGCCTACTGTAGGAGAGAACAAATCAAACCCCAGCTGAAGAGGAAATAAGGAGAAGGTGCTGGAGGTGGATAGAACACACATTGCAGAAACCATCAAACTGCATCACGAGGCAAGCGCCAACTTAGAATTCTGAGTGGAAACGGAAAAGAGAAAGACCAAAGTACACATTACACCGAGAATTAGAAGCAGACATAAAAAAGATGAATAGTAACTGGAAACAGTTGAGAAGGATTACTCAGGACAGAGTTGGATGGAGAATTCTGGTGTGCGGCCGCTATTTAATCAATAACTATAAGAGTTGAACGATCAGTTTATGCACGCATAAAGGATAAATTAACGCTAGAATCAGTACAGAGACGATTTATACTTCATATTTTTGGGACTGATTGTACCTTGACTTATATTTCGAGATGTAATAAACTTGGGCTCGACCCTTTATGGAAGAGGAGACTCAAACTAAATCTTATCTTTTTCTTCAAAATACCTAATAAACTATACTTTACATCCAATCAAGTAATTCAATATGCAGAAACTTCTCACTGTGACATCCGTAACTTCTTGTCACCAGTGAAACAAACTCATTCTAATTCATCTCATTATGTGAATTACTTTACCTGTAAGTTTTCTAGACTCTGGAATAATCTATCATAATCTATCCGTACGATAAAATCACTCCCGTTCTTTGTTCGCTGCATTGATGTATACTGCTCCTCTGAAAATGCATTAAATGTCATAGCACCTGTAAGTGTATCTTATTCCACAAGTGAAATATTCTTGTTTGTGAATTCCCTAAGTAAAACTATCTATCTGCTGTCACTTTACATTAACACTGTTCCCAGCAACCTCAACTAATTTGAATAATATCTAACATTAACAGTATATCACTTTGTCACATGACATGTTTATTATGGTAGACCCGATTGACATATTTTTGTTTTTCTGTGCTCTCTGTTTTCGTTTTTTCTTTCTCTATTTGTAGATAAATACCATTAGTTCGTTCTAGCACAGGAAATGACCTTAAGTACATCGTTCATAAATCAATAGACTGTTCACTTAAGAAAAATAAAAGTTCCTGACTGATGCTTTGGATTGTTGTAATACATATAATACCTAAATAATTACTGAATAAGTATACCTAAAACTTTCTTCTATCACATGTTTGTCCACTACATTTAATGTTACTATTTATATCAAGCTGATTATTTCTGTAAACTGGCGTGAATTCTGTAATTATTATTTTCAGGATATATATATATATATATATATATATATATATATATATATATAGAGAGAGAGAGAGAGAGAGGGAGGGAGACGGAGAGAACTGCAATTGATCAACCTCATTTGGGATATGGGAATCCTGTGAGGATATTCTGTCGCAATGTCAAGACAAGTAGCTCAGGGTGCACATATCCCACATGTGGTTAATCAACTCCAGTTCCAAATATCAATGAGAAAATTCAAATAATCAACACATATGAACTAATATTTATTCCATTGCACAAGCAAATGGCTAACTGGACTATGTAGCTTAGTGGATAACGTGATGATATTTGAAAGGAAAGGTACTGGGTTTTAGTCCCGGAGTGAACATAAACTCTGAGATGTATGTGTATCCAGCTGACTAGTCACATAAAGACAAACCGCGTGTCCTGGATTCCACTGTCAGCCGCCATCCATCTATGCTTAGTAATGTGTTCATTGTTTGTGTTTAACAATTTTCAGATGTCTATCATTTCACTAAAAGAAAAAACTTATCCAGATGTCGAATCATCTTTTCATGTGATATCAACTAGTCTTTGGGTTGTGTTAATTATCAATTAAACACGTCATGTCATTGAGCACATTGTTTGTCTTATCCACAATATGTGCACGTTGTTACACACACTTAAATATATCCTTTAAAACATTTCAGTTGGTGTAATTAGTCAAAATGTACAAAGAATAATATGATTAAAAATAAATGTTTGCTACGATTTTGTTAAGAAATCTCAGATGTAATTTCAAAACAGAAAAGAAACTCATGGGATAAAACATAGAAAGGAACGTTTTATCAGTGATATCGGATATCATTTATGAAGCATGAAGTTACAACCACTAATTCATTTTATTAAGCACTGAAAATAGTCTAAACTCAGAGTTTAATATTACATATATCTATATAATGTCTATCTCCTCCTGAAGCCCCTCTGGAGCTACTGCCGTTCCCAAGCCATAATAAGGGAGGAGGGTTGGGCAGGGGGTTTAGCGACCTCATCCCGTAGAAAACTAACCAGAAAAAAATCTATCATCTAGGTAGTCAAAACACTACCTACCTCCTTGTTAAACTGATATATTTTACAAATAGTTATCATTATAGTGAACAGGTAAACTGGAATTTGATCACATTGGTAGATATTAACACGATCGTATTATAATAAGCTACTTATTTTCAATGTTTCTTTAAATTAATTCTCTTCAATTAAACTTCGTATTTTAATTCATTTTTATTTATAAATTTAAAGGTGTACACAACATCATACAATTTCAAGTGGCCTAAATGAATAATTAGATAATATTCACTTTATAGTTGACTAACATGTTGTTTAGCATGTATACATATTGTTCTATCATCTACGAAGGTCAATTTGAAATCAAGAAACTCTTTCATAGTTTAATTATTGGTTATATTGTTACCTCATGTAAATATTTATTTGTAATAGGATGTTCGTTACTGTATTTGTTCACTTGTTTATTTTTAGTTATATTTTCTAAACGCCCAATACACATCGAACTCATCCATTGTTTAGATTGATGTTAATAATAATAATAATAATTCACAAATTTAGTTATTACTTATTTATGATATAAACACTAATAGATAAAGGCTATAATTTGGTATAAGTGAGGTGTATGTGTATATGTGTATTTATTTATATTCCCTTGCATACATTTAACAGTTTTGTTTATATGCTTTAAAATACCATAGTGATAATAGAAAGAAAAAAGGGAAAAAATTGAAAAAGACACCGGGAAATGTATAAAAATAATACGCACATGCACACACACACACAAGAAAAAGAATAATTTTAGTACTCTATCACCCTATCACTTATTGAAGTGCTTTCGAGTATTTTGTAATTTCAAATCTTTTGAGTCATATATATATATATATATATATATATATATATTTAATGTATTAATTGGTTGATGAGATAATCTGTCATTCACTTTGGGATATTTATAAATTGTACTTGATTGTAATTGACAAGTCAATAGGAAATGTGAAATATGAATGATGATTTGTTATTATTGTTTATATATTTCGAGCAAATTATAATCTTTTATCAAATTGTAAGTTGATTATCATGTTGTTGATTTGTTTGCTTCATCGTTGCTAACTGACTTGTAGAAGTAGATAAGAATTATTATGATCAATATTATTATTTTATTTAATCGATAGTATTCTTGATTATTTTAACAAAAATCTTTTATTTATTAAAACAAAAGTGTTTTATATACTTTTAATTGTTGAGATTATGAGTCAATTGAAGCTAGACCAGCATGGAAAGACTGGAAACACTGGATGGCCGTTTTGTGCTTTTGTACGACTCTTCAGCAGTGCACATCCATGATCCCGCCGCCACGCGAGATTTTATATACGATTAGATTAGAATGTTATATGTTTTTAAAGTTAAAACACAAATTCTACTAATGAATAATTCATCATAAGAAAATTTATATGTGATCTGATAGTGTTATTCTCACATTAAAGTATCGTGCAGTACATTTACATTTAATTAATTTAATAATCCAAAAAAATAATGATGATAGAAATTGCATAAGGATTACGATCACAATTTGTAAAGTACACTAAAACATGATTTTCAATAATCTGTAAATAAAATGTTTAAATTACATAGCAACTTTATCAGTTGACCTAGACCAAATAAAGACAAGATTGAAGAAGAAACAAAAAGCAATTCAGCAAAGAAAATTTGCTTTTCCACAATCTTACTTACATTTAAGCTATAGAATCATATTTGAATAAGTGAAATCATCAAAAAGAAAATTTTCATTGCTGAATTGTCTTACTTCTTTCTTTCTTTTTTCAATGACGTAATATGACTCCTTCGCCAACTGAGATGGGATTATTAATTTTAGTGTAATAGACTGGTCAGTTAATGTTAGTGTGTAGAATATAGTTGATAAAATCACATGTATTTCTTCTCAATAATCATATGCAAACAGCTGTTTGTGGAACATTATGAACGGTATACCATCCAATGTTTCAGTTATACTAAACATTGAATGTTTTTCAGATGATTAATTTTCTATTATTAACAGTTAAACTTCAACACTGAACCTGTTACAAGCTTATTAAAGATAATACAATTAAATCAGTTTATTTAGCAGAAATTAGCTCTACAATTATTAACAACTGATAAAGTATATTCTATGTAATTTTTATCCATACAAGATGATCTTAATTTAGTACTAGATTCAACAAAGATTATAAAGTTATGTATGAAATTTACAGTGACGCCAATGAATTTTAAGCAATTTATAAACTACATTCAACTGGAGGAAAATGTAACAACCATCACTTGTGAAAAAATGATAATCAACTAACAGATGGTAATGATCCCCTGGTAAACCATCCTTAGATTACTGTCGATAAATCCTTATCATTAATTCTAGTAAAATTTCAATTAAACAGGATAAAAACGTCTCAGAAGGGGTTTTGTGGATATTATAGTAATTTAAATAGTTTAGATCATGAGTCAATTAAAGCTAGACCACCATGGAAAACTTGAAAGTAATGGATGGACGTTTCGTCCTATTGCGGGACTCCTCACTAGTGCGCATCCACGATCCCACTCACGGGATTCAAACGCATAGCATTCAGTCTCGCACGCGAACGCTTAACCTACTAAACCACAGAGCCGGCATCCAATGATGTTCATGTCTAACCTCAACTAATCCAATAGACATTTATTAAACTTAAGATTGATATTGAGACTCACTAACATGAAGAAGAGTATTTGTTATGAGAACAGAAAGTTTTAGATTTAATTCAATGTGAAATTTTGCGTATTTATCGCTAATAACTTTTAAACTTTATGAAACAAATAATCATTGCTTTGTTGTAGTAAGTTAATGATAAATTATGTATTTAACTATGTAATGGGTTAATAACTTGGGGCTAATTCATTTGATTCATTCTGGCTTTTTTTCTTTTCCTTATAAAGATATTTTACAAGATACTTTACTCTATACTATTTTGTCAATTTAGTATGTTAAAATATTAAGATTGATAAATTATGCTGTTCTTAATCACTCTTAATAAATTTCGTTGGAAACATGTATCCTGGATGATTTTCTTTCTTGAAAATATATTGTTTATTATACAACAAAGTATGAGTCAAAATTGTAATCAAAGAATATATCAAATATTCAATGGAAGTATTATTAATACTACTACTACTAATATGACAAGTACAAATGTTACACAATTATGTTGGTTATCTGATGAAAATTTCACTTATCTACAATCATTGAATGACTGTTTGGGTATGTCATTCTCTTCATTTTTTCTAAATTTTAAAATGAAAATAATGTTCTACATATATTTTTAAGACTAAGAAAATATGCAGCTTAGATATATGCTATTGAGGTTTGAAAACTAGATAGTTTCATTATTGATCTTTCATTATTGTTCTTCATGAAGTAAAAAAGTATTGAAGATATTGCCTTGAATGCTAATGAAAGTTATGCAATTATATTATTTAGCTAAGGGAATTCAACAGGATGGAAAAAAGTTTTTTATAAACGTTAAAATTCATTTTATTCAAAACATAATAAAGTTGATTATTATGAATCTCCCAGAGGGCGGGATCGTGGATGCGCACTGCTGAGGAGTCTCATACTGGGACGAAACGGCCGTCCAGTGCTTCCAGGTTTTCCATCGTGATCTAGTTTCGATTGAATTATTATTTTAACCAGTAATATGAATTAATTTCATTTTGAGATCTCTGGTCAAACACACAGTTTTTAGTGTATTAAAAATATGTAAAATAGATTGGAATCAAAATACAATGTTTCATTAAGTAATTATTTTTTTCTGGTAAGAGTTTCTTTTTAGCGAGTTAGTTTTCCACGGTTTGGGGTTGCTAACCTCATGCCTGACCCTTCTTTTTTATCCGGGCTTCAGACCGGTAGTAGCCCTAGAGGGGCTCCAGGAGCAGTTGTTTAGTAGAAACTAATGATTGTAATCCAATGAAGTAACAATGACAATAGTGAGGCTGTCTGTTTGTCTGTCATATACATATATCGGTATTTTTAATCGAGTAGATATTCAAGTGAATAAAAAAGATGGTCACATATCACACTATAAAAACAATAAATTGACAACAACTTCAAAAAAACGCAGTTATGTTGCATTCAATTAATGTTCATCATTTCAAAAAACTATTTTTATTAACGCTAATTAAGTATTAAGTAAACCCGTTAATAAGTTGATAGGAACATGTCAGTAACAATTTTCTTAAACACATTTTCAAGAATCCGAAAAAAATATACGTTGGATAGTGGAGCACCAGTTCCCTTAAGATTACGGGTACGCCTTACTGACGAGCGCCGAGTAGCACAAAACCCGGATCCAGAGTTTCCTGTCCACTACCTCCAACCACCATCTAATCTCACAAAGTATAGCGTTACAGTGTATACGTTTTATGTGTAATATGAAATTTCCTGTGAGACTTTAGTGAATTGAAATTAAAGAACACCTTTCCTAAATAAGTATCCCATAATATAGTGGTTTATTTATTATTAATATTATATATCGCTGTTTAGCTACGAATTATGCTTTTTTTCTAACGGTTGTTCAGAGTTGTATATCAATAGTACCTTCTTATATACCGACATTGAGAAATATAATAACAAGTTAACAATGGTCATATTGGATGATATTTTATTAAGTAAACTGAAAAAAAGGATGTAACGAAAAAAAGTGTATTATGCATACGTCTTTTGACAATTTTCTGTTGACATGATATATCACTATCCAATAGAAATATGTACACATTTTAATACGGTATTTTTTGTTCATATTCAAGGGTTTGAATTTCGTTGAGCGGTATAAAATGGTTTTACGATAAAAAAGAGTAAGATTATGACAAACATGTCATTGTAAGATAAATATAAGTTTATTATGGAATCATCAACCGTTTTAGACAAATTGAAAGGTTTTCTAAAAGACCAACCATGAACGCATTTCACCTGAAGTTCTCAAAATACTAGGCTAGACGGTTTGTAAATGTTATTCATTTAAAGGGTACATTCCATCATGGACTTTAGGTGGACGACTATTGTGAATCAGACAATGCAAGACAGTTTTATTGTCTTTGTATCCATTTCCTCTACCATTAGCGCAAATGACCATGTCAGGGATTTTAGTCAACCTTAAATCATCAAGATGAGTGGGCTGCCTATCAATCACCATATAATTGTTCATTAATCTAGGACCCACTGGTTTTAAATGGTTATCTCACGAATGTTATTCGGAAATGTAAGTGATCTTTAGATAACAAAATAAACAAGTTAACATGTGTCAGTATGAGGTTTTGGAAATTGTTGAATTTCATTGAAACCATGAAACATTTTCGCGCGCAACAGAAAGTCCTAGTTTCGATTCTCTATTGAAATTTAGAATATATGGAGTATCAAATTTCGACTTAGTTTCATTCAAATTTTGATCAATGTTCAGTGCCAAGTATACGCAAACTACGTTTGATTGGCCCTATATTTAGCATTTATTTAAAATAAAAAAATTGATAATTTGATGTTCATTCATCAAAGACAAAGGGATTTGAGTAAGCCACTGAAGTTCCCCATTTCCTTCTCAAGATGGGTCATGTGTGCTCACTACTATGTAATCCGAAACTAGGAGAGAACAACTGTTCATTGCTTCAGCGTCTCTAGCGATAACTCCACCAATATCATGTGTTCATGAAGAACATCATTTACATATTACGTATTATAGTAGTGATGTAAAAATCAAGAGATGAATGTTGAGAATATGTAAACACACAATGTGGAAGAAATTAGAAAATAGTATGAATATTTTTAAAGAAAAGGATCTAAAGAAATTTCAGCTAAAAACTCACTCTTATACTAATGGCCAAGTTAGTGAGAGTAGTTACACAAAATGATTTTAGACACAAAAGTTAGGTTCGCAAACATAAATTCCAATAGCTTCAGCAATATGCAACAGATGAACTCGTAAACTAGATGGTAAATTTGTTGGAATATGATAAATAACGTTAAAAGTCGAATTGATGAACTTTGCTCAATCAAGACGGATGGTGTTCTACTGTGTGATGACAAAATTACCGAATTTTACGCCTTATTTAACTGGCTCCACAAGAGTCGTTGAAATGCTAAATCCATACTAAACTAATCTAGGAAAACTAATTTTAAAAAATACTTAAAAATTTGTCAAAATGTTTCTAATCTGTCTAGAAAAAACGTGTTTCACAGTTTAAAATGAGACATGATTAGAAAAAAATTTTTTCAATTTTTTCAATTGTTAAATTGAATAGTTACTGAAAATTCCGTCTGGATATATGAAAAGCTTAACAGATAATGAGAATAGAGGAATTGGGGGGGGGGAGAATATCTAATTTGTTATTTAGTGTGTAAACCAAAAATACATGAAATATACAATATGCAGATATGCATAGATAAACAAAACAGTCTACTAAATGCATTATTATCAGTTTATTATAACATTTAGTTTATAGTTTGCTTCTTTATTTTGTAAGGTTCATGTTTCAGGTACCTTATATATTTCTTTTTTTTGCTGACGAGTCAGTAAAAGTTTTAAACTCCTCATACTAACTAAAACTATTTTGTAAAAAAATATAACTAACAGACAGAAACAAAGGAGGTGGTAGTGGTGGTGGTGGGCTTTAAAATAATTTAAGTAATGAACAATTCACTAACTCCAAATACACTAATTTTACAGTAGATAAGGTTTATTAAATAATAACGTTATTTGCAGTAATCACTTGTTTGTTAGACAGTTTTCATTGTTTTTTGTAATTATTGATAAAATCAGGCGAATTCAAACAGTACAGAAATGCAAATAGAGTAAAAACAACAAAAAAATTTTATGGGAAAAAAATAATTCATTCTATTATAATAACTAATTTGTAGGTAAATGGCGGGTTCATAGTTTAAAAGATACATTTTAGATTTTTGAAGAAACGGATCATTTAAACAATCGGTGGTATCTTTTGATGTTTACTCATTATTTTCAAATCTATTGTCAGGGGAAACTACAAATTGTAATTTTCTAATAATCTGAATATCTTCCTTTGTCCAAAAATGAGTTGAGGAAATCATCATTACTTTGCAAAAATGTGGTTTATTTCCAGCTTAGCAATTAATTATACAAACAAATAGATAGAGTGACCATGGTATTATGACTAGGTTCTATATTGACAATATCTTGATGGCTAACCCAAAGTAAACAAACCTGAAGCACAGAATCCAGAGCACAACGTATTACTTCAGATGTGTTTATTAATTCTGGTGATATGGATTGTGTTTCACATTTTTCTAACCATTTCAACAACTCTCCTCCGAACAAAATCTTTACAATAAAATGTGAAAGAGATAACTAATTAATTATATAAATCTTAATGTAAGACGTAGAAACGATAGAACTATTGCAAAAAGTAAATGTATGAAAGAAACACTTATGAGAATTCAAACTGTAACGGCTGTTCCTCCACCAGTTTCCAAGATATTTAGTCAAAACGGTCCTCAATAGACATGAGATGTTATGCTCAAACGTTAAGATAAATGAGGAATTAGCTATTCTAATAAAAAGCCTAATGAAAAATGAGTACCAGGAAAAATTTATCAAGAAATGTGAAAAAGAAAATCTTGAACATGGTGAAGAACTGACTGTTTATACGAATGTTTGTCAATATTTGGACGAATAGTTTGACAAAAATGAGCACTGAGTATGGAGAAGACATTATTTATGAAGATTATATTCGAACTAATCTCATCTGTGTACAAAAAACCTATCCTCATCCGTATTCTTTTCTAAGGGGATTGGATTTCAGGTAGAATAGATAGAAGAATCAAGACATCACTGAGAAGAAGCGTCTCTGCTATCCAAACGAATAAACCATACAGCACTGTGTTCATAATACCATTCAAAGGTAGGTCAATACCCTTACGACATTGCCTTCAATCGCATCTACAAAGTTACATGTACCTGCGGCAGCACAAATATAGTAAGGATACAGCGAAGGATTTCCATTAGGTTTTCTGAACAAGTTCTTGGGAAGCAGTGACTGAAATGGAATAAAGATTTGCAAGTGCAATTGCCAGACATCTTTTAGACTGTGCACATAAAGTAAACCTAAGTAATGAATTCAAGTTATTTACAGTCAACTAATTTTACTCCGTTTTTTCAGAGGCAATCGCTATCAAACGTTTTTGACCTGACTTCTATATACAGAAGGAAAGTGTGATTAGCCTGTCTATGCTACGGTGAAAGATTTTTAATCAAATAAACCTTCTTCAACCCTCCTTTTTTCATCTATTATTTTAAGTATTAATTGTGTGAGGATATATGAACAATGAATAAATGTGATGATACAATAGAAAGATTATAATATTAGATAATATAGTGAAAACGACAGCAATAAGTGATTGTACGTGAGCAAATAAAAGTGCATGTAAAACTAATAAACTCATAATAGATTACAGTGTGAATAAAGTGTGATAAATAAAAATTTTTTATCACAATGATTACGAATATTAGAGGGGTTAAGTGAGATGAAGTGACATTCATGAATAAAATCCTGGAGATATGTGCAATAACTAGAAAGAGAAGGATATTTTCAAACGTGAATCAATGAAAAAATATTTATTTAGGCGCATAAACATTGTTGCAAGGAGGCATCAAATATATATGTGTCATGCGAATCATTCGATTTGTGTGAGGGCTGGAATACTGCCTGAACGCCCAGACCGAAGTGGTTGATTGGTTGTCTTAGGAGGTCTTTGACCTAGAGTTATAATCCACAGGGCAGTACAACAACGTTAAGAGATGCAGTCCCATGGCATACATAGACCATTTGTTCCTTCAGGATCTCGGGGGCTATGTGCGCAACTGGTTTGAAATTACTTTTTTCCAACTCCTCGAGGTTGTTCCTCTACATTGGCCAACCCTGTTAAAGCACCAGACATTCCCTCTTCGTCCTCTCAGCTTCGTAAACAACGCCCCCACCGCAAGAAGCCAGTGAGTAGAACTTTCCTGTCAGTGGCTGTATGCGCGTGGCCATATGACAGCATTTCGACCGTACAAGGGTATTATTATAATAAAAATAATAAGTTAAAGGTACGATAAAGGTAACGATAAGACATTCTTTCTTGTACAAATAGTTTAAGTTTCATTTCAAAGATGACGATAGCTTCTACTATTGTAAAGAGTTAACTAGGAAGAAATCTTGGTAGATTTGGACGAACTCTGTGAACAGTCTTAAAATTAGCCATAGATAAGTTGAATGATCGGAGTAGACTTATTATGCAAGAATAGAACTCTTAACCTCTTACGTCTCGATTTCTAGGAACCACACTAGATATTTCTTCGTATTTAGGCTGTAACCAGTGTTTGCATTCAACTTCGATAATAGAACATATTTCAGTTTGAGTCTAATATTCATCCCTTACATTGTCTAATTGAGGTTTATACAATTATTTCGTTTCGTTCCTTGCCATACTGAATGATTTTGCAATCAAATGTTCATTTCACTGCCTTTACATAACGTTTTTTTATATGTGTTATTATTAATAGTAACTACAACGTTTATCCCTTTTTAAATTACCACTTCCCAATACTCAAATAAACACCAATCTTAACTATGTTTATTTATAAATTTTGCCTTCTATTCTTCTATTTATCAAGATTTCAGTTACGTTTTGAACATTTATTTCAGAAACTAAGATATATTGGGGTGAGACTATGATATATGGACGAACCAATCAGATTTAGGATAACAAGTCCTGAATTTTGGCGCGAAATTCACTCATCCATTTTGTTAAATGGAGTTTTGGCATTATAGCTGATGTCAGTTCGTGGTGAAAGCCCTATATCTGATTTCTAACCCTAACCATCAGCTGTAAATATTAATCCCAATTCCTCGCGCTGATTTATAATCCTCATTTAGCCGTAGTATGTAGGTAGATATTCTCAAGGTGTTTTTAGAGTCACTCAAAGGTTGTCCATAAATTATAGTCTCACCTAAATTGGTTGATAGCATGGAGTTGTAGAAATTGTTGAATTTCATCGAAATCATAACGTAATCTAAATTAGAAAATCTGGAATCACTGAAATATCGTTTCGTCCTAATATGGGACTCTTGACTGATGCGCATCCATGATTCCAACAACCCAGGATTTTAAGTAATTATCATTTTAAGTTGTAGGTAACTATTGAGAAGTCATGGAATGGGATTAATTCATTCTACAAACATTTTTTATTTTTATTCTTTTAAAATTATTTAATAGATCTGATTGTATAAAATAGATAAATGATTTTTAAAAACAATGGCATTATACTATCCACATTATATTATTAAATTAGATTTGAATTATTTCGATAGAATAATTATAATTTATAAGTACTTTTAGAGTAAATAGTAATATGATTATTATTGTTTTTTAATAGTTGAATTCACGAGTCAATTAAAGCTAGACCACCATGGAAAACCTGGAAGCATTGTTTGACGGCCGTTTTGTTCTAGTATGGGACTCCTCAGTAATGCGCATCCACGATCTCGCTGTGCGAGATCCGAACTCACGGCCTACTAGTCTCGCGCGCGAGCGCTTAACCACCAGACCACTAAGATGGCCGGCATTCGATGGTATTAATGATTAACTGTTTTTTGATTTCCATTAACAAAATTTTACGTACTTTATTGCTAATTAAATAAAGGAAAATATTATAATCCATGAGTAATTCATTGAATATTTTCATTTGTTTATTATTTCGTCAAATTATTCTTCAGTTAAACTTTATGGTTAGTGAGTTAGTTTGGAACATCAGCAACTTGTATTTCATAGTATGGAAGTACGTGAGATTGATAAAAATGAATATTAAAGCTCATTATGAATCTTCATTTTGGTCACACTCGTGTAAGATTCCTGCTTCTTTGGGGAAAACATTGACTATTGCTTAATCCATTAATTTCAAAGTGCTTTATTGTAAATAAGTTATTTTTATTAGGCAGCTTGCTTTCAGAATTATATTTTCCTCCTAGTTATTAAAACCTGCTTAAAATAATGTCAGTTAACTAAGTAAGACAGTGATATTTGAAGAAATGAAACTAAAAATACTGTTTAGATGATATGTGAATCAATTAGGTTTGAAACCTTAGGAATCTTGAAATTTTGATATTCTGTTTATTCATTCCAGTTTAGATTTTTAATTCAACCTGTTAACTGAAATTATGAATTGACAAGTCATTTTGTCATTCTATAAACTAAATGGGACTATAGACATATTAAAAATAATTATCCATTTTCCAAATAAAACTGAAAAAAACTCTCAGTTTCATTTTATTGGTTTTGACTGATACTTAATCAGTCTTAGAGTTGGGGCGTTCGAGACGAATGGTACTGAGTTCGAGTTTCGGGGTGAACGTAAACTATGGGATGTAGGTACATCCAGTTTACGAGTCACAGATGAGATGAATCACAAGGTTTGAATTCTACTGCTAGCCTCATTCTTTTAAAATTCATTAGAGTTGTGATGAGTAGACAGGAAACCTATTTATGACATCAATAGGATAAAATATCTCATGGAATAATACTTTTGAAGTCATATTACTTGTACATATCTTTTAAGAATGAAACTTAGAATAAAAATGGACACATTTAGATTGATCACTACTGTTTCGATTGTTAATTATGTTTGTGTTGTTTTTTACTTTATAAATATGAAGACGGTGGTGGATGTGCCGCTCAATTTTGTGTATTGGTTGAAGTTAGACATTAACATCGTTGGATACCGACTCAGTGGTTTAGTGGTTAAGCGCTTGCGCGCGAGACTGACAGGTCGTGAGTTCGAATCTCGCGAGACGGGATCGTGGATGCTCACTGCTAAGGCGTCCCACAATAGGGTGAAATGGCCGTCCAATGCTCCCAGGTTTTCCATGGTGGTCTAGGTTCAATTGACTCATGATCTCAACCACTGAATTTACTATAGTATCCAAAAACCCTTCTGATGTGAAAAATATTTTATTGATCATTATAATACACCTTTGAGTTTAGTTGAATACGTAAATTATATTTGTGTTAATAGATATTCTGAAATAATCTTTTAACAATATAAATGTATTCTATATACTTCTATGTACTTACAATTATTGTAGACTTTAGTATAGTATGGATAACTGAGCCACCAAATGAATGGCATATTGATGAAATGATTAGACTTAGATTTTTTGTAACTGCCTCTCCATCATTTTACGGACAAGCTATACAGTTCAATATATTTTCACGAAATCCATTATTAAGGTAAGAATATAATTTTTACATTATTTATTGATTAATTTATTGTAAATAATGGTTACTGTTTGGTGTATGTTTTGATTAAAACTTAACGACGAAACTCTGGAAGATTCGGAATCCTTCAGATACCTGGGAAGTATCATCGATGAACAAGGAGGACCAGATGCAGACGTAAAGGCGAGGATAAGCAAAGCAAGGACACCATTCCTACAATCGAAGAACATATGGAACTCACAACAAATTTCAACTAATATCAAAGTCAGAATATTCAATACGAACGTCATGACATTTCTACTGTACTAAGCTGAAACTTGGAGAACTACAACAACCATGATCAAGAAGGTACATGTATTTATAAATAGTTGTCTACGGAAGATACTCAACATCCATTGGCCAGATACCATCAGCAACAGCCCTTTGTGGGAGAGAACAAGCCAGTTTCCAGCTGAAGAGGAAATCGGGAAAAGACGATGGAAATGGATAGGACATACATTGCACAAATCATCAAACTGCACCACGAGACAAGCGCTAACTAGAAATCCTGAGGGGAAGCGGAAAAGAGGAAGGCCAAAGAACACATTACGTCGGGAAAGAATGAATAACAACTGGAAAGAACTGTAAATGATTGCCCAGAACAGGGTTCAATGGAGAATGTCGGTGAGTGGCCTATGCTACTTCAAAAAGAGTAACAGGCGTAAGTAAGTAAGTAATTTGAAAGAATAGTAAAACATTGATAGTCTACTGAAGTGAGACATCCAATAATACAATCTTATTATAGTATTATTAATTTGGATGATTTCTAATCTCTTAAATCTAATAGTTCACTTAACTAATTAAAATGAATTGGAAAGGAAATAAAAATTATATAGCTTGTCTAGTTCAGGAATCTTTATTAATGTAAACCATTGAAGACTACTGAAGTTCAAACTACAGCTTAAAGGATACCAACTCAGTGATGTTACAGTATTGTGTTCATCATTAACTTTCATTGATAAGATTTTTCTACAAGTATGTTCAGCTATAGTCAACAAATGAATTGATTGATAAACAAGTTTCAGATTTAAATATTTTGTTGGAAATAAACGGGAAATCATTTATTTCTTACAAAGACAACCAATAAATTTAGTAAAACATTGGTCATTGTGGTTTAATAAGAGTTTTATTGCATCAAGACCGTTATAATGTATCCAAATGTATGTTCAAAAATCAATTTTAATAGGGATTTACGTTAGTTTCTTATTTGTTAAATACCAATGTTAATAATCATAGTTGAATCTCTTTTACTTTTTTCGATTGTATAGTTCAATTGGCGACGTATCATCGTTTTGTTCTGGAACATCTTGCAAAATATTTCAAGTTGAAAATACATGTTGTTTATGGCATATGAGTCTGTTTATGAATAGATTAACTTCTCCCAGTGAACCCTTTTCTTTGGATGTTTGTGATTTCAATAATTTTAATAATAAAACTATTCCAGTTTATTATGGTTCATCATTGAATTCAGAATGGAATCTTTTAGTTCCCAGTAAGTATCTTCATTATGTTCACATCATTATAAAAACAAGTAAATATACATATACCTTGAGATGATCGACTGTAAAATGTCTGTTTGTTTTTTGACAACATCAAGAATGAAATATTTCAAAGAGTAGAATAATTTAATTGGCGCTAGAAATATGGAGTGAAGCCTTGTTAGCAAAATTTACAGTCAATGAGTTCCAATTTATTAGGATATCACTTTAATTACATAAAGATTATGTCCAAATAGCTGATTTAGAACATTATAAATTACAAAACTACACAATCTTTACAACGTTAAAATCATTTGTTTACCAGTGACTAATTTCGAGAGGTAATTCTCGTATTTCTGGCTAAACTTCATGACTATTGAGGTTCAACAATGTTGAAAAAGTAACAAATATCACCAATGATAAAGAGTGATATTCACAAAATATCATGAAAAGATTAAAGTTAGATAATATGAACTATTGGATGGCAAATAAATAATCAGAATATCAAGCATTCTTCACAAGGTCTATTGATCCTGTATTCTATCTAGGGCTAGGTCTTAAATATACCTGATTTTCAATGGTTATTCAATTAAGTTAATTTATTAAATGAAAAAGATTTAACATACAACTTTAGCAATGACCATCTTAACTAATTTATTCACTCGTAAGAAGCGATTTATCAAACATCTTCCACTGTTTGGATTCCCTTATCACTTTTGTCTTTTTTGTTCGTTTTTTCTTATCATTTTGCCTTGTTTAATCCTCCAAGTATCATCTTATTGTTGTTTTATTTAACTTAAACATTTTCCATGGTTATTTATTAACTTCATTCGTTTTATGATTATTAATATAATCACCGAATTACCTTGCGTTTATTCCTATTCTCTTTTTTTAATAGCACCTATTTACTCAATTGAAATATCAAAATAGAATCATTTAATAATTCTTTTTGCAATTCTTGTTACTTAATAAACAACCGTTGGTTCAGTATCATTTGCCAATGGTCAGTAGCAATCTAGCTGAAATAAATGTTTACTGTAGTAAAACAGGTGATATAGAGCTGTCATTACTACAATACCACATTTTACACTTATGTAATAAAATAATTAAGAATTAATTGAGAATGATTAAGCTTTTTTAAAATTTGACTGAAAAAGAAAAATGCTTACAATTAAATCACAATAAAATTACACTTAGCTGGGAAACTAGTAAACAACTTTCCCAACAAGTTAGAATCTGTTATATCCCGACGAGAATCATGAATGGTAAATTTTGAGAACTATTAAGTAGCTAAATTATGCATATTCATGTTCATTTTATTATAAGATTGACCCAGAGACGATTATTATATGATATACCGTTCTTGAGTTATACCCAGTCTATTAATTACTATCTGCCACATTCACAGCTACTTTAGGCTAGATCTTGTACAAATGTTATTTTCTATTTTATGGTACGATGTGGTCTGTTTGGTTTTTTTATAAACCCAGTATGTTTGAAATACATGATTTATGTCGCGGAGGTTGAGATTGGTTTTCTGGATTTAACGGGCAGGGTTAGGTAGGATGAAGGACCGATAAGAACTCTAAACTGCTCGAACGGGTTTATGCGTCATTGATTCGGTCGATAAGTTACTTTTCTCTAATTGGTGGTATCACTAAGTTATATATTAACAGGGCTACAAGGCAACAAGTTATAACACAATCAATTTGACCTAGTATACGTCGATTAAGAGATAATCAGTCAACTTCATGAAAGGATTATTAATAATAGTAATATTAATTAGCACTTCATTCATTATTGTGTATTAGCCACAAGTTAATAATTTAAACAAAGATAATCACTCTTAGATCCCTTTATTGAACTAGATACTCAGGTCAATCAAGAAAGTTTTGTGTATGTATTATACAGACACAACCCTTAGTTTTATGTTAGTGAATTCTGACGAAACTGTTACTTATTCTGTTAAATGACGGACAAGGACAAATGTATGAGTCAAGTTTGTGAAAACCTTAAGTAGACCATATAAGCGAATATACAATGCAGAAGAATTCAAAAATTGAAATTGTAATTGTCGGTTAACATAAAACAACTGGATCACTTTTTATATAAAGTTGGACGTGAAGTTTTTCTTGAGGTTAACAGTCAGTTCAAATGACTAGGTCAGCAAAGAATAAATGCATGGATCAAGATAAATAACCATTTCATAAGAATGAATAATTATACAGCATTCATGTAATTTCTTAGCTTATTTCATACGCGGAAAACTTCATTACAAATAAATCCCTTAGTACAAAAATTCAAGGCAATTTAGTGAAGAAAATTCTCTTTCTGACGCTATTATATACTTAAGCTGTACAATCGTGTTCATAGTTAATTAACAAATGAAATAATCTTTAAAAAACGGGTGGAAGGTTACATCCTGTTGTGTGCGAAAAAAAGTCAGAGAAGGGTTTTTGTGGATATTATAGTAATGTATTGGTTGAAGTTAGACATTAACACCGTTGGATGCCGACTCAGTGGTCTAGTGGTTAAGCACTCGCGCGCGAGACTGTTAGGTCATGGGTTCGAGTCTCGCGAGACAGGATCGCGGATGTGCACTACTGAGGAGTCCCATAATAGGATGAGACATTCGTCCAATGCTTCCAAGTTTTCCATGTTATTCTAGCTTAGATCGACTCATGAATTCAACTATCAAAGAAAGTCGTTTATCGATTGAGAATTTGAACAAAGATAATAAGATCAAATCAAATTTGCAAAAGATAACTGTCCACTTGACGAGTATGAGAAGGTTGATTAAAACATTGGAAACGTTAAGGTGATAATAACGAATACTTTAAGTTAAAAATATAAGAAATATCAGAAGGATGCATTAACAATGAAATTATCTTTTGTGAAAATTATGCGTTAGGACTATGGGAGAATGAAGGCTTGCACATGTCGCTTTGCACACAAAGTTTAATTATAAAAAAATGGAATACTAACGCTTATACAGTGCATACAATATTAATTTGCGCTCCTCGTGATCCAAACCATCTGGACATTTAATTTTCAAGATGACTGAATCTTAATTTCTACTTGTTTTCAAAGCAATGGAAATAAAGGAATCACATGAAATAACCCTAAATAAATATTTACGACTTGATAATCATTTTTATGTGAGTACGACAAAACTGAAATCAAGATTAGCTCTAAAAAATACAAGCATTTTTTTTGCTAAATACTAGTTATTTACCCATAACATTTTTGTTATAATCGTCCATGTACAATATAAGTTCATTATTTTAAATCTGATCAAAATCGGATCAATTGAAGTTGTAGTGTTCCAACAATAGTACATCTCATTAAGTATTTGCTTATGAATAAAACAAAAGACACATTGAAGAACATTGACACGTTTATTTTTAAATTATATTAAATTTCTAGATTTAATAGGGTTTTATGGGTACAATAATAAAATATTCTTATTTCATTTCTGAGTAGTTTTACCAAACCTTCAAGTAGATTTTCCCAAGGCTTTAGAGCTGTATCATGTGCTCATTTGTGAATATAAAGAGGTCAAATCGTATCATTCTTCTACACCATTCACATTATTTTCATGCCATTGCATTAATATACATTTTCTAAGATAACACAATATCATTTCTCTACTTAATCATTATATTTTTGTTAATAACTTACAACCCTTTTTTTACATTCGTATTTATTCTACTCTAGATGTTACACAGCCAGGAATTTATTTATTACTTGTTCGTATACTGGTTGGAAGATTTCAAAGTATTTCGGTAAAAAGAGTAACAATTACGGGTCCAGGTATTTTGTGAAATTTAGAAATTATGTCGATAATATATATATATATATATATATATATATATATATATATATATTTGCTTTCTTTAAATAGATAATCTTATAATAAGCTAAATGCTATAATTGTCTATATATTAATGTATAAGAAATTTTCACCGAAAGTTACTGATCATGTTTATTTTAAACAGTTTGCTTTTAGACGAATGCTTCCGACGTATTTCTGTTCATCTACTGACATTTTATTGATCGGGATTATGAAATATTTCAATAGACAAATATATCTATCTGTATAAAGTCATGACTGGTTCATTGTTTAAAGTTAAACAGTGACAACAGATTGGTTGAATACTTTACTGTAATATTAGATTTTTTGAAGTTACTATTGTAGATCACAGGAATCTTACTTGATGATGTAATATTAAAGAGACTTTTATTTATGTACAGTTTTTGTTATTAAATAATAATAGCTAGAGAGCTATTAAAGAACAAACAAAATTGATCTAAACTGCTAACAAACATTATATTCATAACGAACTTTCTTAAACCATCTAAATATGAAATTGTATGAAGAGTGTACTATACATAATAGATGAGAGTCATTTATCTTTTGTTAACTATATACCTCTATGGGAGTGTATTATAAGCCAGTTTTTTGTATTTTCTGTCCAACTTAGTTAATATGTATTAGATGAATTGGTAGTTTAACAAACGCTTCCATTGTTTATTTACAGACATTTACCGTACATTACAAAAAGATCAATCACTAGCAGTAGTGGAAATAGTTTTAATCGTATTGGCTTGTTTATTACTGCTGGTTATTGGATTGATCTCCTTGTACTATGTGAGTCATTAAAATTACATATATTCATGTCACTTAATCATTTGTTTTATACCTTATCGTAACTCACTATACCGATATTCATTTATAATGATTTTGTATTAATACTGTTAGTGAAAATGACCTCATCTAATTAGGAAAAAAATATCCAGAAAGTTTGATTCTGAAAATAATCAGATGATTGACTTATGAATTGTGCTTGAATGTTACAAGACCAAATATACAATATATTCTTATTGTTATTATTACTGTATTCTCACTGTTTCATTTCATTGTTCATACTTGTTGTTTAGTAGTACAAATTATGATGCTAATTGATGTACACAAATAATCACTGTTTGAAAGTAACACAATGTGTGAATGAATAGTTCTTATATTAATCCAGCAGATATATCAAACCTTGGTTATTGAGGATGTAGTTCTCAAATGATTAAACTTGTGACCTACACATTTCACAGCTAGTGGAATACATTAGAGTGAATAGTTCACAGTTTTATCAGAAGTCAAACTGTAGTATAAAATGGTTTTCGTAAAAGATTTATTATGATAATCGATTTCGCTAACAGTTTAATTGACTCCATATATCAGAACTTTCTACTATAACATCGATTCTTAAGCTTATCATCAGATCTGACATTTATGATTGTGATTCTATGTGAGGTATGATGCTCTCTAAAGTTCGATGATTTCTCCAGCTGACGTTGATTGGTGATGAAATGCACTTTGAATTTGATTAAATACTCACAAAATAAGCTTTGGATTCTGATTACATAGTTTATGAATAAGTAGTTTAATTGCATTTCATTATTTGTATTTTTATTACTGCTCTATTTATCACGAAACAGTTTATAAGAAAACATAAAGCAAACAAGAAAATCGAAGAAACTTGGGTACTTAATCCAGAGAAAATTTGTGATAGTAAGTAAATATCATAATAATGAGTTAATTTACAATAAAACTAGGATAAATTTGGACGCTGAAATTAAAGATGAGCTAAATAAAAATACTTTTCAGAAAACAGTGTTATATAAGAAATTACTTCTGACAGAATTTCATTCAGATTTCGATAACAAAATCTTTGTTAAATCAAGTCTCTTCAGTATTTAAGAAGGGCTTATCACGAGGAATTCTGAAATTCAAATAAAAAAATTTTTTTGAACTCATCAGACTGAATTCTGGTATATATATAATATCAATGATTAAGATCATGAGTCAGTTGAAGCTAGACCACCATGGAAAACCTGGAAGCACTGGACGGCCGTAGGTCCTGGGTTCGAATCTCGCAGGGGGCGAGGTCATGGGTGCGCACTGCTCAGGAGTCCCATAATAGGACGAAACGGCCGTCCAGTGCTTCCAGGTTTTCCATGGTGGTCTAGCTTCAACTGAATCATGATCTTAATTATTGAAATTACTACAATCTCCACAAAACCCCTTCTGATAATATATATAATAGTACATAAAGAATGGAGAAATTTTTTTCAATATAGGAACAATGATTACAAAATAAGATGATGGTGGCTGGTAGTGGAATTCAGGACGCACGTTTCGTCCTATTTGAGACTCGTCAGTTGGATGTACCTGCATTTCAAGTTTGATATTCACTTAAGGCAATGACGAGGCAATCCTCACAGGATACACATATGCCTATAAGCGACTGATCAATTGCAGGAAGATTCAAACAACCAATGCAAAATGAATTAAACTTTACCTCATTACCCAAGCTGTCTTGACTCAGTAGCTAAGTGGATAACGCAATGGCGTTTTAAACAAACGGTAGTGGGTTCAAGTTTCAGAGTGAACATCAACTCAGGGATTCAGGTACATCCAGCCAACCTGTCTCAAATAGGATGAGACGTGAATTCCGCTACTCGCCACCCTCATCTCAGCTTATAATGTCTGTTCCCAAGCTTTGTATTTTTATTACTCTTTAGCTTTCTAATATTCATCTCTTACATTATATGATTGATGTTCATATATTTGTTTATTTTATCATGTTGAGCGATTGCTCAATCACTTAATAAATTTCATTACCTTTACATAACCTCTGAATTACTGCTTTCCAACTTATAAATATATATAGATCTTAACCATATTTATTGATACACTTTGTATACCTATTCTTCTGATTCTTATGATTTGGATTACGTTTCAAGCATTTATCTGAACTGCACAAACTAAAGTGTGCTAAACATTTATTAATAATTATATCTATATTAGTAATTGTAATTTTAAGTTGTATGTAAGTGATGAGAAACCAGGAAACAGACTAAGGAATTAATTTTACTGTGCATACCTTGTTGTTCAAGCACTGTCTAAAGAGAGACTTCATTTTAATGAAAAATGAGAAACGTTAAGGCATACATGAGTTCTTAACTATTGTTTAGACGATCCGATCATGTTCAAAATGGAATTTTAAACACTTTAAAGCACATTATAGAGGGATTTTTGAATGATTTATACAGTTTGATTTGTGCAACATAAGGTAAAGCTATTCTCACATTGGTATGTATCTATTTATTGCCGTTCTTCTACGATGTATACCCAACATTTAGTTAAGTAAAACGTTTTCAAACAAAATGTGGTCTATATTGACATTCATTGGATTATATAAAAGTCGATTACACGAATTTTAAGACTTTTTGTATAGTTCATTCTGTTCAACCACTCACTTATTTATACAAGTTAATATATACAATCCAACATGGAATAATGCTTGTTTGATATTGATTCGTTCAATTAGATCGAGATCTGTAATGACTTCTCTTAATTACAATTATTTTAGTTGATCCAGAAGATAGGTGGATTAAAATGTTTCTATCCCGTTCAACAAATTGTTCGCTTAAGATGATGTAAGTTACTTTCAATAAATTTCTTGAAGTTTAGTGAGGTAAATATTTTTATAATTACTGGATGAAACTTATACACTAATTAAGAACTAATGTAGTATGGTAGAAATAACTTTTAAAATTTCAAAGGCATTACTCTCAATGGAGCATAGGCTACCGACCAGCACACTCCAACCCACTCTGTTCTATCCAATTGTAGTTCATTCTTCTCATGTTTGTCTCAATTTCTCGGGGTAATGTGTTCTTTCGTCTTTCTCTTCTCCTTTGGCCCTGAGGATTTCATGTGGGGACTTGCCTTGTGACACAGTTGGGTGTTTTACTCAATATGTGTCCTATCCACTTCCAGCGCTTCTTCCTGATTTCTTCCTCCTCTGGAATTTGGTTATAAAATAATCAATACTGACAACTTCAATTAAATCTTTATTTTCGAAGACATTACGACCTTGATCGCTGACATACAACATAGAATTTAGTTATCCCATTTACTAATCATAGAATGAATCGCTTCAAGATAAAATTTCATGTATGAATATGCATCTGAAGTACGTTCTAGTGATCCTTGAACCTTAAGAAGACACAATAGTTTATTATTATACCTTATAATTTGATTCGTCCATTTCAATCAGTTACAAAGATTATATTATGGCATAATAATAAATAATAACTAATAACAAGAGCACAGCTATTAAGATCCTTTTAGAAGGTAACTGTCCTCAAGAAGAGCGACTTGTACTGATCATTAAGCTAGCAAGAAAATTGAACAATATCATCCATCATGATGTTTATCCAACATCCGAGAGAAATTGTTGTCTGTTGAATAGAATAATAGGTTAATAAACATTAAGGTGTTCAAACTGAACATTCACAGTGTGATTAGATGGTTCTAGTTTGATTCGCAACCTGATCATATTACACAAATATTTTACAGAGTTTTGCAGAGGTTCAGAAATTATGTCATTGTGTTAGGGAATCATGGTCTATTAATAATCTTTCTCTAAGGAGAAGTAATAACTGGTTACAGATTCCTGATTAAAAATGAGGTTATTCCTCTTAGTTTGTTTACTTCATCTAAACTAATAGTTATTACTGTTCAATCAGTTTCGCATACAAGTTATTGATCTTAAATTCTTTCGGAATTCATGGGCATAACTGCACGTTTCGGTATGACTAGACGCGCAAGAAGATTTATCTTCGCTGGAGGTTTCAACAGTTTGAAAATGTTTCTGTAATAGTGTTAATAAATTGCTGTCTGGTGACCTTGATTATCCTTAGTTTGATGGAAGTAAATGTTGTGTATAGACAGGAAAGTATAGTTAATCCAGTAGTCCATCATTAGAGTTTTGTTTCATCAATGTTGAATGGGTAATAAAAAACAACCTCAAAAATTTTTTTACTTTTTAAAATTTTTAGTGACTGCGTTCCAGTAGCAATGAAACAAGTCTACGTAGAATTTACTGAGTTAACAAGCGATATGCAAAAACAACTATGGGAAGTTAAGTAAGTTACAATAACAGAAAAAGATGCTTATTCTTTATGATTGTGCTGTATTTGAAATTATCTATCACACAGTCCATATTCAGTGGTCTGGTGTCAAAACCTGAAGGCTTTCAGTTTGATTTTATGATAATTCATAGATAAACGCTTTTAGTAAGCTTCAGACTACAATAGACAACGGTCTAATGCACTTTGGTTCTGGAGTTAATTGTCACTTCATCTTCAAAATAATTAAAAAAAGCCACTATTAGATCTTGTTTCACGTAATCATATATAACAACAACGTAATCATAACAACAACAAAACTCGACCTACTAATAATAAAATCAAAATTCGATCTATCGTAAACGACACCTAAGAAGCAGATTATAATTTTGGCTTATCTCATGTGATGTTTAGTGGCTGGATTTACTGCATATGATATCCAAAAGTGGTGATATTAAGATTTTTTCTTCCTTTTTTATAAGCTTAAGTACGTGTAGAAGGTTCTCAGGTCGAAATTAACTTTCATTACAAATCAACTAGGAATCATTAGTAAACCAGAAATCCTTGAGTAGCTGATTCACCCTAGCCTGTGCATTTTTATTAATGTTTACATACTACTTTAATGAGTTCTTACCGAGTTACTCAAAGTGAACTATTTTCAGACTGTTGAATAAAAATACGTTAAACCTTATTTATCAACGTTAGCCGATTTGGCTCATGATCTTTTCTTAGTGAACGCTGTAAAACTAAAAAACTAGGTATTTTAATTTTATACAAGTAATATATCAAACAGTGCAGTACAGTAATATGTAATGTTGAGTATTGTTGGAACTAAATTGTTAAATTGATGCATTGAAGAGGAATAAACCGTAGAATACTCTATATTCAATACTCTGATGAACTAAACAAATTCTGCCTTCTTAATATCTTTTATTGAGGCAAACAGTTAAAGATTCTTGCTAATGTTACCAAGTTGAATTTTTCCTCATGTATTTTACAGGAAAATGAAACATACTAATTTAGTGAAGCTTATTGGGGTCACATTTATATCACCTGTCTTATCATTGTATACAGAGTTTTGTGATAGAGGAAGTTTGTGTTACGTACTTCGACGTGATTCTATCCCGCTAAGTTGGAGTTTAAGGTAAGCGTACAGTACAAAGGATATATTTTTGACTATCCTCTCAAGACCATAATAATATAGAACTTAATTACTATGGAATAACTGTAGTTTATTATTACATAACATTTATTAATAACTTATACGAACCAACATTAATTAGAATAGTATAACATTATTAATTATGACTGTGTGACATATTCTGAATATAAAAATATTTACCATAAAAGTTGATTTTTTTAAAAATTTTGAATGATTTCACATTATATCTTAGATGATGAATCTTTCGGGACCAAAGCGAATAATTTATGTTTTCCCATGAAGAAGCTCCTTACTTCAGAAATTCAATATCGAATATTCGATATTGAATTCAATTCATCATTGATTTACACTTTTAGATTAGTTAATGGCTTGAATGAAGAAATATGACTATGAATCTTTATATGAATTCTAACAATTGTATAAACAGGATCTTGGATTTTGAGTATTAAAATTCAACTAGTATTAATGTTAAGTAGTATTCAATATTATCTTAAGTAAAAATGTATTAACATCTAATTATATAAATATGTATTTGGTATAATCTTCTTTTTCTAATTCATTTCATTAAATAGAATAGGTTTTTTAACTGGTCTTGCAAATGGTTTAGCTTATTTACATAATTGTCAAATTGTACATGGTCGATTGAATTCATCAAATTGTGTGATTAATGATAAATGGACATGTAAAATAACAGATTATGGATTAGATAGTTTAATTTGGTCAAATGATTTTGAAAAACATAAAACGTTTTTAGATAAACCAGAAAATTTGCCATATATCCCACCTGAATATAGAGGTAAGTGTTATATTTATGAAAGGTTTTATAGTATTTTTAATAATATTTTGAACAATATGATATGGCGGGGTCGTCGATGCGCACAATAGGGTGAAATGGCCGTCTAATGCTTCCAGGTTTTTCATGGTGGTCTAGCTTTAATTGACTCATGATCCCAACTACTGAAGTATGATAACAGTTTAACTAAATCTGCGGAAAATATTACTGCGGGGATGTTCTTTGTTCGTTAATTCTTTGGGCATTTTACTTTCTTATTTCTCAGAGAAGTTAAAGTAAGGGTATGTTCAAAAAGTTTGAATTTATGATAACACTACTTTGAAGGTCATACACAAATAAGTCTATCCTGATCGTTACTATTTTGTAGCAAATGAACTAAGCTCGTTTACATTAAAACAGTAATTCACATCTTTGAACTATAATACGTTACTTGATAAATTGAAAGACGGTATAACTATATGCTATGAATTTTTATCTTTTGTGTTATGTATATAATTACATTATCTATCATTATTTTGTAACACTTTATTTATTGATCTACATGGGTAATGAATAGGTATTTTCCAGCCCTTAATATTCTTTAAGATCACAAATTTTCTTCCATCTGTACCCTACTTCATTTTATTGCTTTACAGTATCTAATTGCTTTTTCATACATAATAATACGTATGTTTCTATCTTATTATACACTTATTTATGGTAAACAGTTGTAAATATGATTGTACAGCTACGTTAAATGATATCGTTCAAATGAAAATGAGTATTAAAATCCGGAATTAAAGCATATGAGAAATCGCATTTCATCCATCGTAGGGTAGATAAATAAATTCTGTTTGTCAAAAACACAGACACTATGAAAGGATCAGCACTTGAATAGAAATAAGGCTTGGCTATTAGTATTGAACTAAGAATTGCTTGCTGAACATGCTAATCAGCTTCATACAACTTTTTAGTTAAGTGAAATTTCGCTAATTTGATTGTAAAATTTTCTATAAAGCTCAGTGGTCTAATACCACTATTGTTATCCACCCATCCTAGTTATGATAATTGTTTCAAGAAGTTGGTCAGTTCGCACAACACACCTAGATATCATTTGAAACTTTATTCATGCCAAACCCTGATCAGTTAGCATTACACATTTTAAATCGTTGTAAATTTGTATCCTAAAAACTTAATTAGACATTGTAAGAAGTGTTGTTAGTGTAACGACGTCTTTCTTTCATTCTTACAATGATAAGCCTATATTGATCGTGATGTTTAGCTTAATGTTGTCTGATGTTAATGATTTTAATTCCATTGTTGAAAATTCATCCAGTTAGCATCGGTTAAATAAATCTATTTCCAATTTTTTTCCTTAGATTATAAAGAAACATTATTCGTGCCAGCAGTAGACATATACAGCTTTGGTACAATCATGTGGGAAACAGCAAGTCGTAGTGATCCGTCTCAAGTTAGTTTTAAAATTATTTATATGGTACATTTGTTGTTTACAATATAAGTAGAAAGGAGATTAACTAAAAGTAATACTTTGTGGTTTTCCAGTCGATTAAATCCAGGGACTTGTAAAATAAAATTCCAAAATGATTTTACATGATTGAAAATAACTTTCAGTGTTGAATAAATGCAATCTACACACGAGATGATTGTCAGTATTTGGTCATTCATTAGGCCTTGAGAATGTGAATGCAGTGAACAGCTCTTCGTTGAACTGCAGAATCAGAAGTACAACATCAGCAGTAAAATACCTAAAATGGGTTGCAAATTACTGTGTCCAAGAGGGTGATTGAAAATATCAATTCTTGTAGGGTAATCTATTTGCATGATAGTTTTTCACACATATGTTAACATTTTTGTCCTCTAAATCAGCACTAGTCATTTTTTTATTTGCTAAACTAGGATGACGAATTTGTGGCAGAACCAATGTATAATCACCCGGAATTGCCGACTAAAAGATGTTTCGAAACTGATGTTAAATACGAGGTTGCAACAGTACCGCCTTTTGAAGAATACAACAATGTGAGTTTTAAGTCAAATACTTCCGGAAAAATTATTTCCTCAAAAGGTGTAACTTTTCCATGCCTACATTACGGTTTTGCACTTTAAGGGATGCTGACACGAAAATTTGATTTCTTTTCATAAAATCAAGGAAAACATCATGAACAGACGGTTTCGTTGAAAGAATGTGACCATTTGAAGATTGGCGCTATAAGTTACGTTGCCTTGAATAAATACTATATATTTTACTATATCTTAATGTGTGCTGAATTATTAAGTACTGTTTACTTTGCTCTCTGCCACTTATGAGATGATTGTGCTTATTGCATGGCATCTTCTTCTAGGTGCAGTGCGAATTTTTCTTTGAATCCAAGTCTCGAATGGAAGGAGAATTTTGATAAGCAGATCAATAGGAGTATAGCTTATCTCGGCCTATTATTAATAGTGTTAATCAGAACGTATCATTGGTCACGTTTAGAATGCTCGGCTATAGATGATATACTAGACAAGAGGTAGAAAAATTATGATAAGAATTGTGGTTTACAGGTCGAGTATGTTATGATGGAAATCATCTCAAGATGTAGCAACTTACCTAATTGTTTATCTCTCCGACTACGATCTAATATTTGCCCCAATATTTGTATTTCACTTGCCTTAAGAAAACATCTAAGCTAGCGCAATTTAGACTATTCCATTTTTGAATACGCGTATTTGTAACTTGTTAACAGAACAAACTAGCCGGACGAAAATGTCTCATTGAGAGTCTAATGACTTTCTGCATAATATCTTGTTTTCTTGGAAACTTTAATTTCTTGGGTTTCAGTTTCTTTATGAATATCAATCATCATAGCACGTACCACTGCCTGTTCTAACGAGAATGTCATATAGAATCAGTGGTTTGATAAAGTCTCGTGGTTAGAATTAACTAGACTTTTAATCTCAGGTTGTGATTACTTTTTTGACAATAAAATGTTTTATTATTGGGTGAGTGTTTTAGGTTCCACACTGGTTTGTCTCAAAAATTCATAAAATATCAGTCACTAGAACAGTTCGAGACATTTTATTAATCTTTAAGTATTGTGTTTAACTAGCTCCAATAACTTTGTTGCTTAGAGCTTATGCGCAAATAGCGTTAAATTTTTCACAAGTCCTGTTCTGTGATTCGCAAGAAAGGATTAATAGTATTTAAAAAAAGTAGAAAAAGATTACTTTCCAGTATGGTCTATTGTGGTGTATACTACTTATGCTTGCAGATATAAGTAGTGTGTGACACCAGTCGGAAGTGGAATGTCTGTGAACAGAAGGTTGAGAAGAATAAAATGAACAGAAGAGTGAACGAAACTAAAAGCAATCAAGATAACAACAGGAACTAATAAACAATCGACTTGTTAAGAAACAATTCAAAGTGGTTGTGCAAGTGATGTTTAATTTTCACTTTGCGATTTTGCATTCACCAGAGTTCTTGTTCACTACAATATCACTTAATCGATTTCATACAATAATCATGTGATTATTGTTTAATTTGTCTTACATTAGTTGATGCAATCTTGCTGGAATGAAGATACACTGAGACCAAACTTAAATACAATTATAGAATGGTTGACTAAGATTAATCCAAGGAATATTGGAGTTGATGCAGGTACAATACTTGTAAGTAGCATCATTCGCCTGTTATAAGTAGATTATAATGTTATTGTCGATTTTATCACCAGAAATTTTTGTTTATTTTATTAAAGAGTTCAAGCACTTGTCACAGTCATTTTAAAACTTCACAATAAGGTAGATTGTTTAAAGAAATGGTTTGAAATAATGTAACACACCACTAAATTTCACAGCAAGAACTATAGATTGTGTGGGGTTCAGAGTTTGAAGATTCTAAGCAGCATTCTAAGTAGTATTGTAGTAAAAGATCACTTTGATGGTGTAATCCAATTTATTATTTTATGCAAAATCAAACAATGGGTTAGTAAAATATGAAAATCATGCATTGAATAAACCATTTGCATATCGTTTTTTGTTTTATCCTTTACACACTCTATTACTCCTATAATTCTGTTGTTATTTCGATTACTCTCCGATTTTTCTTTCTATTGCCTTTACCTCAATCTACCGCTGCCAAGTATTCCACTCCCGACCAATGCTACATAATATTGATATCTGTCGATATAAGTAGCATACACCAAAACATGTCATATTTTGAAATTCTGTCATTACCAAACACAGTGTTATTCACTCATATGACAAACAAATTGAACTACAATTTTAGGGTTTACTTTTATAGTGAACTAATACCATACGAAAAGCAGTTAAGAAAAAGATCACCATTAGACAGCTGTTCTGTCTTAATGTGAATCGCATTATCAATGTGACTCTATGGTCTTACATAGATCAAATGAAAATATGTATTTGACAATTTTGTTACTTAAGTTGTTTTAAATAAAATAAAAATCGTTCTCAGATTTATCGTTTGACAGATACCAGAGCCATACAGTTTAAATATTTCAAATGTTTTGATCAATTATACAGATGATAGAATTTATATGTAAACACAATGAAATCATCAAAATTTACCCTCATAAAAACTAGACTAAGATGAATGATATTAAGGCATGTGAAGCTTTATACAACACGAATGGATGTTGAACTATTATTAAACTTACATTGTATGAGTGAATACGATAGTACTGAGGAGTACTGTTTCAAAAAAAAATTTATTATTTTTGTGGCTTCTATCACGGACTAAATGTCGTTAGATAACTATTATGCATGGGAAGCACTGAACAACTGTTTCGTTCTAGTATGGAGTGCCCCAGTAGTTTACATCCAGGACCTCGCAGAGAACCGAACCTAGAAAATCCAAGTCTTGAGGAGAGCACTTAACTTTAGACCAATAATCTGGCATCGAGTGGTCTATAAGTTTAAGTTCAATAGTTTTTGCGATATCAAACTTCCATCTTCCATTGTCTCAGGCGAATAATTGTTTCACAACAGAAATAATTGATTTCCACTGGGTAAGACTGATAACTAAAACTCATTGAATTAACTTCTAAGAGTAAACGCTAGAGAGTTGGTGTAGGGGTCCGTGGAGATTATTACGTTTTCATGGTTTACAGTGCTTTCTAGGTTTTAATCATTGTTATGTAAGTTGTGAAACTTCTACAGTGTCCTTAAAGCCTCCTATACCAAAAATAATTGTTTTCCTTTTTGTGTTAAATTTTCTAACCATCCATGTTTGCTTCCTTTAAGACGAAAGAATATGCTAGATGTCTTGAATCTATTATTGAAGATAGAACTCAAGCGCTTCGTAGTGAACAGAAAATGGCAGACACTTTACTCAACAGTAGGTTGGACAGTTATTTTGAAGGCTAATATATATATATGTATATCCAATGGAGACTGTTCATGTGATAATTTATTATTTAATTGTACATAAACTCTAGACATAAATCATGTGAATTTTTTATACCATACAAAATTCAAACATGATAAGCTTTGTTAATTTTAGCGATATTATTGAATTGGTGGACTGAATATCCATGAATAGAACTATCCAACACATCATTGCAATGAAGTTTATCTAAGACTCTACTTAGATGGAAATCAAAGACTAACCATGAAAGTTAATGATCATGGAACAATAGAAGTTTATAATCTACAAAGTTTTAAATGAATTATTCATTTCACTTGAATGTTCCCCATTAAAATATTTGATAAAACTGCTCGTATATATATATATATATATATATATATATGTAGAATTTAATGGTCCTGTGCTTACTATGCTTAATTCTACTGTCATATACCGTAGTGGTAAAATAAAGTCTTTATTATCTATAATGATATGGTAACCTTTTTCAATATAACGTGGTTCGATCAAGGCGGCATGCTTGAATATCTGAGCTATCTGTTCCTGCCATCTGAATATTTCAACAAGTTATCAGTTTTCTTGTTTGTTTTAACACATCATTATGCCTGTTAGTCACATTACCTATTCAGGTACGTTTGTGTGATGTTTACTAAGTTACAAAAGAGCCCAATCAGAGACATTGTGGGTTGCTATCATTATTCCTTGAAATAAATGAACACTATTCAGATGATGATTCCTAAACTGCTAACATCTAACTAGTGATCACCCAATATTTTTATCGTCAGGATCGACCAAGAAATAAGAAATGGAAACTCTCTGAGAATTTTATGATGTGCCAAAAATATAATAATAAATAAGGCCAATAATAATAATAACCTTTGTTTTACCATGTAGATATCATTGTTTAAATATTGGCACAACCTAATTGTCACTTTTCCTTACCACTAAATACGTGCAGTTCCGAATGTTCTGTATGGTGTAAGGTAAATTAAAACCTAATTATTTCGCTGTTACATATTAAGCGGGAATTCATTTAACTTAAATATGGTATAAAATAATGATATTGACATTGGTCTAGAATATTACAGAATATATTGCAACTGAGCGAAATATTCTTTATTCCAAGTTCACTAAATCACAAGTATGGATTCTGAACGGTTAAATTTATTGATTGATTTTAAGTGTAACGGGAGTACAGTTGCTAGGATTGGGTTAATTTATAAATAACTTTCGTCATAATGGTTTAAAGCAAACACTTAGATTTGTTGAAACCGTCATACAATTAAATTTGAATTCCTCTTGTCTTTTTGATAGTATATTGTATTGACAGTTAATCTACCCAGGTGTTCGATAAACATGTTCTTATAACATTATTTAAGAATATGTGTATCATTTGATCTTATTGATCAATATATCTTTATAGAAAACGTTTTTAATGTTTACAAAGTTATATAATTCAAGTTCTTAAATTATTCTACTAACGTTTTACTTGAATCTTCCCATTGACGTTTAGGACTGCAATTGATCAGTCTCTTATTGGTATTTGTTCATAGTGTGTGTATTGCTTCGATATTGTTTTAATTCACAAGCATTATAAGCAAACGTACGTTCTGGATTCCACTGCTAGCAACTGTACATTTTTGCTTATGTATCTAAAGTTTATTTAATTAATTTTATTGGTTACATTTCCATATCTTACTTAATTTCTATAACAACTTTTTTCACTATCTTACTTTAGGTATGTTACCAAAACAAGTTGTAGAAATGCTTAGACATGGTGAAAATGTACCACCTGAAGCATTTGAACAATGTACAATATACTTTAGTGATATTGTTGGTTTTACCACAATTTCATCAAGTTCTACACCATTTGAAGTAATAATTTATTGATTATTATAAGAAATAATTATTTAAATTAACTTCGTGTATATAACATCATTGGCTTTCAGTAAATTTTGAATGGTTGAACTTACATATGTAAAGTATCATCAAGGAGCTTTCATTAGATATACATTATAAGGGTTTCGAAAACAATATTGTTAATATACTAGATAGATGATATGTAATTAATCAGCGTCCTTTTCGAAAGTCAATGTTAACCAGTTATTTAATTGGTTCGAAAGATCAATCTTCATCTTGGTTACTACTACCAATCTAGAAAATGGTTATCTCTCCACAAAGAATATGCATAAATAATTAACTAGAACTGAGAAAAATGCTTGACTGGCAAGTATTAATTAACGTGAGATGTAGATTCAGAACATTCAATCTGTTTATATTAACCACTTAATACTAAACTAACTTCAGAATTCTTGATCAATTTATCATGACTATTCTTCTTCTTCTTCACTAATATTCAAGTATTATTGGGAATTACAGATTGAGAGCATTTTGTAAATAGTAGTTTGAAGCGATATACACTCTGATCTTTCCAGTTTTTTTCTTCTATTTCTATGCATCAGCTGCATTTATCTAACCAGTGATTTATGTATCAAAACAGTGATTATTTATTCGTACTTGTTTTAAATAGACACGATAGTTCTGTTTCACTTTGTTATCATAATACAATGTTCATTTCACTGGAGTTTTATTAAATTAAATACCCGTAATTATATGATAAAAAACTAATGATAATTGCTATTAGAGATAACAAAATAGACATTTCAAGAATTTCCATCAAATTACTAACATTTTAATGGTTATCATGAGTCAATTGAAACTAGACCACCATGGAAAACCTGAAAGCACTGGACGGCCGTTTAATCTTAGTGTGGGACTCTTCAGCAGTACGCATTCACGATCCCGCCATCCAGTACTTCCAGGTGTTCCATGATGGTCTAGCTTCAATTGACTCATTTTTAGTTAATTTTTAGTGAAAATTGATTAAGAAATAAGTTAGGGAAGTTGTTAAATCAACTTTTCTTCATCAATGTATAGATATATAATTTATTGATAAAAACTTATTTCCAGGTTGTAGAATTTCTAAACAAATTGTACACTCAATTTGATGATATTATTGATCGATACGACGTTTATAAAGTGGAAACAATTGGTGATGCATGTAAGTAATGATTTTTCGTAACAATTTTATTGTTGACTACATATTAGGTATGTAATTGTTGGAAAACTAAATAGCAAACACAAATCTGTCATATTTCTTTGACACTTTTTAGAATTTTTAATATGTTGCCTTAAAATGTTCAATTCCATGGTGAATGCGGTAAGTTTGGGTTAACTGACGTTGAGTATCTTCCCTAATAATATCAGGCCGGTTATCCCTTGAGTAAACGTGTTTGCTTATTTCGATCGTGTTGTTTGAATATTCAGGTATTAGTTGAGTAGAGAAATAACATGGAACAAGGGCTTATTGTTCTATGGAAGGAAGAGTTGGTCAGTTATTAGATTTCTGTGAAGATTCAATCTTGAATTGCAAGTTCACGTAGCATTTTAAAATATAATTCCTAGTTTAAGTAAATTAATTAATAGAAATCACAATTAGGATACATAAAGGTGAACGAAACTCATCTTATGATAACTGGTTTTGTCATTCTAATTTACAGAATTTCACCACTGAAGGTAAGTAGGAGAAAAAATAATGGTTGATAAGATCGATAAAGCCTTAGATTAATCTTTTCGCTTTAGTGTCATTTTATAAACAGATATAAATTATTATCATACTGACCCATTATTAATAAATCTACTATGAATCTCTTCTTCGGATGATCAGACGGTTAAAGTGGTTCAGATGTTCTCTAACACCTCGTTTGGAACTCATCAGAGTAACTTTTATAGACAGTCAACTGTTTGATTTTACACTAGAATCTCTTGAATGTCAATTTTTTAGATTTAAAGAACAGGTACTGTTTTTATCATTATTTCAGACATGGTTGCATCAGGTGTTCCAAGAAGAAATGGTGAACGTCATGCTATAGCAATAGCTGATATGTCACTTGATCTAGTCAATGTTTCACACAGTTTCGTAATTCCTCACAAACCTGATGAACCGTTAAAAATTCGAGTTGGTTTGCATTCAGGTAAATAATCATATGGTAGATTTTATACATTACAAATCTGTTTTTCAGATGAAAATATAGTAAATTTTTAGGACTTTTGAAGTCTAAAAACAAACCGAACAAATTCTAGTTCAATCTTTTATTACTATTCACCAGTATGATTTCGTAATATACTTCTTAGCCTGATTAATTATGGTTTAATAGGAAAATGTATGAATTTGTACATTTAATCTTAGTCACACAAATGTTTTTATTACAAGACCATATGAACCTTGATATCATGGCAAACTGGTGAGACCTATTAAATGCTAGAGTAATTTCACTAAAGATATTGAAATTCTTCAATAATTAATAAAAGTAATAGAGTCGCTTTATCAGTGTTACAAGTAGGACTGTTCACAGTTTCCACTTGTCAGGAATCATTTAACTGGTTGAAAATAAACAGAACTATAGATTTACATCTGTTAGTTGAGATCTGAATTTAGATTTACTGAAGTTCAAGTCATTTTTGTATTAGTTGTTTGAATTTTCCCATTTGGTATTTAGGACTGTAATCGATCAGTCTCTTATTGAAGTATGTGCATCCTGTGTGGATTGCCTCGATATCGCCTGAAGCCACAAGCATTGTAAGCAGAGATGGGTGATGGATAGCAGTGAAATACGGGACGCGCGTATCGTCGGCTTGATGTACCTTCATCTCAGAGTTGATGTTCAGCTTCGGTTACAATCGGTATGAGTTGAGGAAATATTGAGATAATCCAAACAGGATGTACACAAGCCAATAAATGAATAATCAATTGCAGTTCTAAACACCAATTAGGAAGATTCAAACAAACAATACAAAAATGGATTAAACTTCACCTCATTGAACACGCTAGTAACTGTTTGGAGCCAGTATCTAAGTGGGTAACGCAATGGCGTTTTAAACAAACTGTAGTGGGTTCGAGTCTCGGAGTGAAAATCAACTCAAGAATTCAGGTACATCCATCTGACAAATCTATCATTTTTATTTATTTAGCTAGCTGCCTCACTTCTAAATGAATACGGAACAGTCACTTAACTAAACCGTAATCCAAACGCCTTGAAATCTTCGAAACGATGTGCAAACGCACTACCGAACCTTGCAGCTAAACAGCCTCTGGAAAGACACTTTGTATTTTTAATGTTAGAGAGTGAACTCAGTGAATCTTTTCAATTTGTATAGAAAGCATATTGAGTTTGATTTCAAACCCCAATTTTAATACGTTTTATTACATAATCGACGTGTTCCCCGTAAAAGAATTTCAAATTATCTGAATAATCCTATCGATATCGGTCTCCTCACTCCTGAGTTTGACTATTACACTTGGTTGAACTGTCATTTCCGATCTATCTGACTTATCAATTCCAAAATACATGGAAATTTAATTAGTGCTTCCGTTTATTATTTTAACCACACAGCTTCCTCATAAACTTTGTATAAATTGTTTTGTTGACAGTTGCTTGAATCATTTTTAGGTCGTACACATCTATAATATCCAATATTTTTCATCTTTAAAAATTATAGGTCCAGTATGTGCTGGTGTTGTTGGTTTGAAAATGCCAAGATATTGTCTTTTTGGTGATACAGTTAACACAGCAAGTCGAATGGAAAGTACTGGCGAAGGTAAATTTATTATTTCAGTTTATTGTATTCCAGTTAAGTGATGTCATGAAAAAAGAAGTATGAAAAACAATATACCTTGAAGGATCCTTTCCTTTGAAAAAATCTTTTCAAATGGATTAAGATATAAGAAAATTGTGATTTCCAAAGTATCATAAATAGAGGAATAAATGCATCTATACATAAAATTCTTTTGAGAGGTCCGACTGGTTTTCTTAAACTGATAAGTTAATTCTACACAAAATCCAATACTCTAACAAACATGAAAATCTGTGGGAAGACAAAGAGTAAATGGATCATAACATTCTGGACACTAACAAAGTATTCTTCACCCACCTACATAGTTCATTCCATCTGTTAATGACCTCATAGACTAATGTTATATTTTGGATCGGCCTCCCTAACTTCCTTTTAACGTCTTAACCAACAAACATTATGTGTTGAATTAAAGAATGATTGAACATATGCAATCTATGTCCCGACTACTTTTGTTGATGAAGATTCATAGCTAAATCAATCAATTTTTCACCCTTGCCTAGATTCTTCCTTCTAACCTCAGTATTGCTCACTCGCTGACCTCAACATACATGAATTAAAGTGAATCAAAGAGATCTATTGTCAAACATTGATAACCTAACAGTGTCTATTTTTAAAAGCCACATCTCATGGCTATTAATAACATTATAATACATAAAGTATTACAAGCAAAAATAAGCATGATTACATGTCACTCGTCAATTAATTAAGAGTTGACTGTTGGGATACTTCGACCTATATATATGTAAGTAACTGGAAGAAGAAAGTTCTATAAAGTAGTGAATCGCAATTAGAAAATTAGAACGAACATAATCATACATTTACTTACAGTTGCAACTAATGTCAGATGATCTTTTTCCTAATGCTGATCTAATTTTAAAGATCGCATTGTAACGTGGTCAATGGTTTAAGTGACTTGACATCATAGTGCACAACAGGATCAGACATAACATTGATTACTGTCATGTAATCCATTGCTGCTTACATCTTAAAGGTAATTTTTGACGATAACACAGTGTGATATCAATTTTTTATTCTTCAGGAAGCCTCAGTTGCCTCAAAGTTATGAATTTACTAACACCGTGAACATGGCTTTCAACTATGAATTCATTGTTCTTATAATTTAGTAATCACTAAATGATTATTATAGTTATGATAGATATGTAATCTGGTTTTTTCTTGCTTCGGAATAATGATCGCTAGACCAAATATATTAATAACGAATGTTATTGATGTGTTATTTAGAGAAAGCATATGTCACTTGATTTTCCAAAGTTTATTCATCTGTAGAATTTTTCCGGCATAACTATTTATTTTTTAATATTGAAAAGCTTACAAAATACACTGTTCAGAAACAACACACGCTATATTGGATCGACTTGGTGGTTTCACTTTTGAAAAACGTGGTACAATAACTGTGAAAGTAAGTTGAATAAAAGAAACGCTTTTAATGTTTCCCTTTTCCAGTTGATTTATATCAGTAACAAGATTGGGCGGTTTATCAGTGTTATAGCTTTGGGGTTCAGTTAATTACTTGATACACTCTTCAGTCGATAATTCGACTCATCTAAAAAGAACCAGATATAAGTCAAAAGAAAGTTATTTTGAAAGTCATTTATACAATATGAATAGCTCTTCATACGTGATATCTCAGATATATCTCTCTGCACTTTTTGACTAATCACAATTCACTTTGGTTGAATATATCATAAGTGATGGCTTTTTCATGACAATAAGCATGTGGTGAAATGCCATTAGTGAACACAAGACTGGGTCTGTGAATTTTGAAGTAATATTTTACATAGAAATTCAGGTTATTTTAAAGCTGAATTAAGTGATGCCAATATTTTAAACTATTATTTACCAGAGATTGGGATCAAATAAATCAACAAAAATAACTGTAGAGAAGTTTCTATCTAGTTTGTAACCCATTAGTGGGACGCTCACTGAATTGGAAGATGGTACTTCTATTCACATGTTGACGACAACAGTCCATCTGATAATCGAAATTTGCATTATTGGTCACTTCAAGTTCCATCATTGATTTGTTACCTCCCTGTTTGTAAAATCCTCTTAAATTGGAAATGATGTGCAATCGACTTTAAAATGAAAATGTATAGTCTCGAGACCCATATATAGATCAGTGATACACTGTTAAACAAATTAACTTTATTTACATGGACCAGTTGATTAAAAGGTATTAGTTCCCTAAATTTGTCTCGTATCAAAGTTCCTAATTAGAATTCCAACTACCAAGGCATCCTCTTTTAAACGTTGTGTAGTCAGTGTTTGTTTTTGCTAACAACCATTTTCAATTCGCTAATCACCGTGAGAAAAATCTTAGTTTTTCCTGTTGAAGACAGAATCATTAGTTTAGTTTTGAAAACTTCTAACCTCTCACGTAAAAATAATATCGAACATTAAGGAATATTTTTTTCACCGGATATAAATCCAGCTTTGTGCGATATTTACATGTTTCAACTTATCTATGACATTTGAATCCATTCTCGGAATTTACCAAGTGTCATCTTAATTTTATTTCTTGCGGTAAATATTTTACATTCCAATATTCAATGACAGTAAAAAACTTTCATAACGAAATTAATGACAAATTGGCATATTAGTGTTGTATGATCAAGCTCAATGTGTTTATAAGACGAGTGTCATACAGTAACGCTCTATGCTTTGTAATAATAATTTAAGGCCTGGAAACTCACGAAGGTTGAATTTTTATAATTGCATACTATCACACACATTTTAAGATTCCCTTGTGCTAGTTAGCATCTCGAATATTATCAAACCTCTAATAGTAACCATCGGAAATTGGTGAAATGTTTCTAAATTCATGTACAAACTTAATGTCTTTTCTTTATTGACAATGAAAAGCAGTGTCTATTATCACCAGTATTTGTTTTCAAGAGTTAGATCACTTATAACACAGATCGCCATTAAAGCAATCACATTTCGATGCGGAACCTCTATATATATTGATAGGTAAGTATGGATGCTCCCACTAATATCAAATTAAGTATTTTACATTCCAGTACGCGAGAACTTGTAGAGTGAGCACACATAATTTAAACCAGTATCCAAGTCTTTAGCATGGTATTATTTAACGGTTGATCAAATTAGAAATAATAATTAGTTAAATTTTCAGTCTACTAGATCAACAGTATTATCTACCGCACCAATGATTTATCATACCAAATCACTTTATTCTGAAAATGAATACGAATTAACTGATGAACAAAATCCCAAACATAACTCATTATGCCTTATGTTTGTGTTTCATTGGTAGACAGACACTTTGAAGGTTATTAATACTGATGCGAATTGATTTGCTAGTAGAAACTCCTTTTCGGAGATTTTTATCGATTGCATAAATATAAATTCTTCATTAATAAGTACTTAGTTATCGGTTATATCTTTCTTTAGTGAGTTCTGAAACACAAATTAATTATAATAACCGTTGTCTTGTTGTGACCAGTTATTTAACATGATACATGTCTCTTTTTTTCAAGGGAAAAGGGGATATGCAGACATGGTGGATCACAGGACGTACTAGAGCTGATTTAGCGAAAGATTGCTGCCCATTGCCACTGAACTGGAAAAAAAGACTGAAAAAAACAGAACCTTCAAATCAAAATGAGAATCCAGAACAAAAATAACATTCATACTATTCATGGATTGACGAAAACTTAGGAAGATCTTGTAAAGTGTTATGTACCATGTCGAATCTTCAGATTATACAAGACCATATTATATATGGTGCCGAAAAGAGTGTTAACCACAGTTCATACATTTTCATCTTGAAATCTATAGCAATCATTCTCATTTTGTCCTGAATAATGAATCCTACAAAAGTAACTGGCTGTTAAATTGTTGTCTCGGTGTTTTGATCTACTAACAATTTAGAAGTAGCATAACACAATTATGCAAATAATGTTGACAATTTGAAGACTGAAGGTGGTGTTATCTCAGTTTAAATGAATTATTCTTTTTAAAATTACTTTGAATAAAATAGTGGTAGAAAATATTGGATTATCATTTTTGTTCCTTAAATGCTATGTGTAAGACAATTTGAAGATGATATGTTATCCGTTCACGTAACTAAAGTAATCTTATTTACCATATGATTGTTATAGTGTGTTAATCCAATTTTCTCAGATTCATCTTTGTTACACGAATCAAGCTAATGATCTGCTACTTCTTACACGATCAGCCCACTTTTTAGTTACAATGGTTAACTTTAGTCTCAACTAATGTCTTTTCGATCAAACTCACCTACTATAGAAAAGAATTTTCCATAATTCTGTTCTAACTACCACACAGGAGTAGCTGGATTTTGAACTCGCTAACTATGTTGTAATAACAACTGTAAATCCAAAAAATAGATCTAGGTCACAAACTCAGTAATAAAATGCTCTGAAACATGGAATACAGAGAGAGAAAGATATCGCAACTGAAATATGACACGTTATATTTGGAATCCATAACTAACTTTTCAAAAACACGGATTCGGTTTTTCAACCTACCCTAAAAATTTTAAATTTCATGAGATTATACATCTTGACAGCTTTCTAAGGCCATAGGTATGATATATCTTGAAAATCGTACTTGGTCCTTTGAGTTTCGAAATACAGAAGATAAGGTTCTGGAAATCACATAAATACTATAGAAATACTGACTTGCATCAGTGATTTTGAAAGATTATAGCGTTTCTTGGCTATTTATTCTCTGGATATATGGTTTACACTGAGTCACGAAACTTCAGAAAATCTAATTTTTCTACTCATTGGGACATAACAAATAAATAATTTATTTATACCAATCTACCCAATGCTCAGTTTATTCGAAACTATCAAGTCAAACCTTTGAAACGATACCGATAAGGTGGAACTGTTTTGAAGTTTTATAGTGGTTTCTGGGTTTTCTCGGTGCACACTGAATCAAAGGTTCAAAATGTACCAACCTCTGTGATGGTTGGTAGTAAACAGATTTTTATTGGCTGCATAATGTTATGATAAGACATAGTTTCACAGCAGCATAGTGTATAACCTCCTAACGTACGACGTTAATGACTTTTTTTGTTTACCAGACTCCTAAAGACTAAGCAGCATATGAAACCCTCAAGCACTGAGAACTTTGAGACTATACTCGATTACTTAGTTAATCATAAACGAATAATTTCTAAAGACTGGTTCACACTGAAAATTATTATTGACAAGTCTTCATTATTTTAAGAAATTATCTTGATGTTATTTAACAGGTTTGATTTCATTTTGCCTTATTTTAATAACAGTATAGTTGGTGCAATATATGTTATATTTTAGGCATAGTGAAATGCATATGTATATGATGAATCAGATATTAAAAGTTTTAGTATTATTTGAATCGTGTATCTTTCAAGAATTTCCATAGTAGCCACAATGTCACCTGAAGATATTTGATTTGATCGTTTGTCAATAATTGTATAATCATCAACTGGTTTACTAATTTAAAAAGCCTTTCTTTAAACTGACTCACAATCATGTGATGGTTTGTTGTTTTTTTTTTCATCAATTGATGCATTTGATCTATGTCAATCTGGTTATTTAGTAAACAATATTTAGCCTTTGATTGGTTGACATTTATGATACTTTTATTTTATACTTTCTTTGATTTTAACTATTGATAAATACATCTAAGTATTAAAAAATATCTACGTTTATGGATGAAATACCATATAGACTGTTGATGATACAACTGTAAGTACTTTAAAATCATTAAACCTCAATGTTGATAAATGAATTATTCAGACATAAACACAGTAATTGTGGTTATTTCTTAGTTCGTCAGTGATATGCCTTTGAATTTTTCAGTTGTGTCTTATTCTTTTACTGAGTAAAATAATGTTTGGAATTAAAAATCAGTAATGTATGTAATATGTGTCAACTGTATCATTTCATTCTGAAAACAATTCCTGTGACTGATGACATGGATAAAGGTTGTATAGTCTGACAACTTTAGTTAATTTGAAGAAAATAAACTTTGACCGTCAAACGATGCATTCATTTCATAGTCGTAAATCTGGATGTCTTTAATTGTCATTTACTTCAACTTGATTATTTCCGATTGAGATCACGTATCGATGAATGTTAGACCACGATTATAACCTGGAAGCACTGGAAAGTCGTTTTGTCATAGTATAGGACCACTCAACAGTGTGCATCTACGATCCCTCACGCAAGACTCGAACCCAGGACTCTCGACCTCGCGCGCGAAAGCTTACTTATGTCCATACAATTTACCAAGACAGACTATAGTCTCGAGTGCTTAGAATCAAAACAACGGGACGGAAACTGTATGCTGTTTTGTAAGTTTGATCAACCGTAGTTTTAATGGAGTCAGTTTATGATTAGATACGGTTACTGTTAGTGCGACGCCGGTCATATTAATTTGTATCACACAAAGTTGCTAATCATTAGATCAACCAGCCAAACGTAATACTTTTAGTTAAGATAGCAGTGATAATTGGTGGTGACAAGATCATATGGATTTCGTAGTTAAAGTAAAACAGTAGTAAATGATATTAAGAGATGTTAGTCATGGTATATAGAAATAGTAACCAATGAATTCTAGCTCTATGGGTTAAAGTGAGACATTCGGAGAGAGTTATGGTAGTTCTGAGTCTATCTATGGCTCAGTTGGGAGGACGGTATAAATTTTAAGAGTCCTAAATTCGAAAAACCAATTGTAATCTCTAATTGTTTTAGTGATTTCCTAACTGGTATCAGTCTGTGATGATAACCATTTTGAGACTAAACCAACCTCCACAGACTGTTAAGCTAGAAGATGAATTTCATTTTAATTCAGCTTCATAAAAAATATTCCTCCGGTTTTTTTCCATTTTGGGGTATAATTATTATATACTATCATAATTAACTACAGTTTAAAAAGTCTAAATTACTTTATAATGATATATTATATTGCTGCCTTAAAAGCGAATGTCATAAGGGGTCAAAGTGATATGCTTGTTCACTAATAACTATTCATAATCCTATGATAATTTATTGAATATTCGATTTCACCACTCTTCATGTTTGTCATTAACTTGTGTAGACATGCATGTATATATATATATATATTTGCATGATAATTATGGCCAACAAGTTGTTTGTAAGGGTTTTAAATCCGTATGGGGTTGTAGAGTTTGTTAAGCTTTTGGTTGAAATCATGAATCAGTTGATGTTAGACGACCATTTAACAACCGAAAACAGTGGACAGCCGCCTCGTTCCAGTATAGGACTCTTCGGCAGTGAGCGCTCACGACTCGAATTCAGGATGATCTCAATCAAAAACTTCACAATCTTCACAACCGTATTCTATGTACTCACTAGTGACCAGCTTCGTGAGAGAATTCTCGGACTTCTAATGAGAAACCGTGACCAATGGAGCTAATCCACATGAGTTAGAGATAGGTATCTACTTCAGTGCTATGTTTGAAACGATTACAAGTTCATCCAGTTTACGAACCGAACAAAGACTCTGTGATCAAAGACCAATAAGCTAGCTATTCTGATGCGCCTAGCACCGCTAACTAGAGAGAGAAGTTCAAGTTCGAAACGGTGAAATATATTCCGCAAGCAGCCAGAAGCACGAGCAACCACAACAAGTATAGACGGAAATGTACTCATTTATATATTGATGCATACACCCATTTTTGATTAATAATCAGAATAATTCACATATATGAAAAATACTTCATACAAGAATATCGTATGTTATACAGAATAAAATGTCATGGGGGAAAACAGTAACAAATACTATACTGAGTGATCATCAAATTGAATTAAACGGAATTAATGTTAGATAAAAATCATAATGAGTAAATCAATCTAATTTTGACTTTTTATCCGAACAATCGAAGATGCCGTCTCAGTGGTCTAGAGGTTCATGCACAAGCGTCGCACTCAATCCAGAACTCCCAGTTTATATATATATATATATATATATATATATATATATATATATATATTAATGTGTCTATGCATTAGACTGGGTGTATCCATCAAAAAAATGATATACAATAATGTATGTATGCGTATTATCTGTTTAGCGTATAAGTACACATTGCATTATCAACGATTTAAATTGATAAAAATCGATTGATATCCAACCAATCTCATTCATTATAATAATAATCATAAATGTTTATTTGTTAATTAACTTTATCTAATTAAATGATAGAAATTTATTTATTTCATTATTAAAAATAATTATTTATGAATTTCGATAAAAACAATTCAATCAAACTTTCTTACTAATTTAATATGTGTGAAATTATTAGCAAGCAGTACAATCTTCAGTGATTATTGCTAACAGCAAACAACAAAAACAACAAGAAAATCAACAACAACAACAACAAGAACAACAAGGAGAACAACAATAAGAAAATCAACAACAAAAACAACAACTAGAAAACCAACAACAACAAAAAACGACAGTAACAAAATCAACAACGATAAAAAACAACAATAAAATCAACAACAACATGTTGGCACATTTTGAAATGGCTGATATTTTAATAGAACAATCGAAATTATTTCATCAATTATATCATGATAATTTAATGAAAATGACTGCAAAATTAGATGATTTTGAAAGAATTCGTACATTAGGACGTGGTGGTTTTGGTCATGTTCTATTAGTACGTCATATTCATACTGATAAATATTTTGCATTAAAAATACTATCTAAAATAAAAGTTATTAAAAATCATCAAATTAATAATGCTATTAATGAAAAACGTATATTAGCTGCATGTAATTTTACATTTATTATACCATTATATTATAGTTTTAAAGATAATAGTAATTTATATATGGTTATGGAATATGCAATAGGTGGTGAATTATTTACATTATTACGTAATATGAAACAATTTCCTAATGAAATGGTTAAATTTTATGGTGCTCAAGTTGTATTAGCATTTGAATATTTACATTATTTAACAATAGTTTATCGTGATTTAAAACCAGAAAATCTTTTACTTCATTCTAATGGTTTTATTAAAATAGCTGATTTAGGTTTTGCTAAATTAGTTCCTAAACATAAACGTACATGGACATTATGTGGTACACCAGATTATATGGCACCAGAGATAATATTAAATAAAGGTTATCATAATGCTGTTGATTGGTGGGCATTTGGTATATTATTATATGAAATGACTACAGGTTATCCACCATTTATACATCATGATCAAATGAAAACATTTGAATTAATTATTATTGGTGAAATTAAATTTACAAATGATTTTAATCCATTATTAAAAGATTTAATAATGAATTTAATACAAATAGATTTAAGTAGACGTTATGGTAATTTAAAAAATGGTATTAATGATATTAAAAATCATGATTATTTTAAAGATTTAAATTGGTTACAATTATATCAATTGAATATTGAACCACCTTATAAACCATTATATAATAATAAATCAGTAAATATAAATCATTTTGATTATTATAATGAAGTAAATTTTAATATTTCTGAAAAAGAACAATTTGAAAATGTTTTTGATGATTTTTAAAATATTTTTTTCTATTGATTAATTTTGTTTTAATTTATTTATATGGATTGTATTGATTGCTTAATTCAATGTTAATTATGTTATAAAAGAGAAAGAAAAGAAAAGAAGAAAAGAAAACAATAGTGTACAATATCACAGGTAAATTTTATGTGATAACATATTGAAGAGTAAAATTATAACAATTAAAAAATTGAACTGAATTCACTAGAAAGTGAATTATTTCTCTTATTTTTTATTAGATTACATCAAAATGAACATTCTATGTAATTAATGAATCATATGCATACATAATTTACTTTGTTTATTACTTAATTAGCTTACCTATTTTCAGAATACTTTCCTTATTTGAATTTTTCTTTAAGTGAATAAACATTGGCCTTTTTTCATAAGCATTCTCAAAGATTAAATGAGTTTCTAATGTTTATATCACAGTTTGACGTAATGGTTGGGCACTCATTTCGATGCCTGAAGATGCTAAGTTTCATCCAAGGTAGGGTTATGGATGAGCACTGTTAAGAATTGATTTTCTATTGCAGACTTAAAAGAATCATAGTTGGTTATGAAGTTCGGAGTAAATCCTGAAATTATTGTGAGTCAAACGTCGACAAGAATTTTAAAAATATGCTGTACACAGTGAGCTCATTTAATATGTACGGATTACTTTATGCAGAAAATATTGAACTTTATCAGTGCTGACTTTGTAATTGTCTTTCATAGTTAGGGATTACGTGAGTTAATACAAAACAAACGTAAAACATATTCCTACGCCACTTAAAAGCTAGGATATAATCCACTTAACCGTGCTTAGAGTATGCCGATGATATAGTACTATTTAGTGAATACACTGACAAAATGCAGAGTCTTCTAACCACTATAAGCAAAAACGCAAGCATTTTCGGAATGCGATTCTCTCCCTCGAAATGCAAAATGTTGCTTCAGGATTGGGTTGTACCGCCACCCAAACTAGTGATAGGGAGTAAAGAAGTTGAGCGTGTCGACCGCTTCATTTATCTCGGAAGTCTCGTCAGCCCTTGTGGTCTGGTGTGTGACGAAATCTTAGCACGGATACAGAAGGCTCGACTAGCTTTTGCCAACTTGCGTCATTTGTGGCGTAGGAGAAATATCTGTCTATCAACGAAAGGACGTGTTTACTGCGCAGCAGTTCGTTCCGTCCTACTTTATGGCAGTGAAACATGGCCAGTAAGAGTAGAGGATATTCGTATGTTACTAGTATTTGATCATAGGTGTCTTCGAAACATTGCTCGTATATCCTGGGACCACCGAGTAAGTAACTCAGTTGTTAGGAAACGGGTACTAGGTAAGGATGGCAAATCAATTGATGAAGTAGTGAAACTTAATCAGTTGAGATGGCTGGGACATGTGTTGCGCATGCCAGACCACCGACTGCCACGACGTGCGATGTTTTGCGGTATAGGAATAGGTTGGAAGAAAGCTAGGGGTGGCCAGACCAAAACATGGAACAAATCCATGAAGTCACTGACAAGTGGACTGAGCCATGTTGGTAGGTGTAGACTACTTGGTTGGAGTCCGCTAGATAATAGCAGCCGATGGTTAGAGACTTTGAATGACATGGCTCAAAATCGTTTGCAATGGCGCAGATGCATCCACTCTCTGTATTCCCCCAAACTCTAATCTTCTGAATTCTCCATGTCCTTTATTTTCTTTCCAAATATATTCCACTGGACCATAATCCTTAAATAACATCATCAAACCTTAACGTTTCCTGTCACTACTTATACTTTCACTACTCTGCCACTACGGGATTTGAGACGATAACTGAATCTCTGTGCTAATGTGGTATGGCAACTCGAACTGATGTACGTACGTACGAAGTTCCACGTTGTTACTGACTGACTGGCTTCTGCTAAACCAGATGTCAAGGCATTGGAAATTTAGGGGGTTATACACATACCATTCTTACACTAACAATCTATCGAAACAGATGCTTCTGTAGATGTGGTTTGATGGTATTTAGAGAGACCAAAATTTTTACCTAACTGTTTTACTTTGGACTATTCCTTATGTGCAAAGAAGGGATCGAATATGATTTAATGTAGAAATCATTGCTAATCTTCGAATCGGAATAATACGTATAAGTACTGTGATTCACTAAAAACTGAGAAAGCCAGATTAAATTATAGAAAATTGGAGACATTTGATGCCTACTCTAATTAAAGCCGTTAACAGATTTTAAAATAGGGTTTAAATATTTCTCAACAGAATTCCTGTTTTTTTTGTACATTAAATGAAGTTAAACATAGAACATGCTCTATCAACATGGTGTGTAAATCGTTGTTTTTGATAAAAGTCTCCTCCAAAAATCAACATTATTCATAAACAATTTTAACACAAATTAATCATTGAAGATACTATTCCCCTAACAGTAAATTATTACATCATCTAAATATAATTCAAGTGTATTGAGAATTCAGTAATCCAGCCTCTTTAGATTACTTAAAATGTTTAACAGAATAAAATCATTTCAGTGATGAATGTTAATGAATTAATTTTAAAACAATAAATTACTAATTTGATCTCTAACAAACAAAGCAATAGAAGTACAATTAATATTCATGAAATATGGAAGCTATTCAAAGGAGATTTTTTTTTCAAAGGATAATTTTTCATTGAGAATTCTTAATAAAACTAAACTTGATTTAATGAATTCAAATTATTTTAATTTATACACAATACAAATGAATACAGATATATGAATGAATAGAATAAATAAAGTAGGATTGAAATTATGTCAGTCATTAATATGTTGATTATTAATACAGTTCATGACCTTAAGTTTCTGTCCTTAACTTATTCGAATCAAATACATTATGTATAGGAAGTTTATACCAAAATGTATACTATGTATGTACTATAATAATTTGAGTGAAATTTCTTTGAGAAAATATTGACATTTCAGCAAACTGTTTATAATTTATTCAGTAGTATATAAATAATATAACTTTTAGACTTGAGATTAATTTCGGTTTTGAAATAATTTAATAGACTATATTGTTGTGAATGAACAAAATTTGAAAGATCTTTCAGCCTATATTTTAATAGGTAATAGACATGCTTAGTTACTGAAGAAATACATATCTCATTAAAGTAATGTAAGTGGAATATGAAAATGAAGGGAGATATTTACGATAACTTAATGACATTGTCAGTAAATAATAATGTAAATGAATTCAATAGTTACTGGATCTTTGAATTATGGAATATTTTTGGTTTTTTTGTCCCTAGACTTCTTCAAATCTGAACTCATAATAGCTACTATTGAGTGTCAAGGTAGGTGATGAATTAACCACTTCTTTCACTCAGACGAGTATGAAAATAACGCATATCAGTTGTTTAGAGAAAACAGATCATATCTTGATGAAGCAAATGAGATGGTTTCTGAGATTTGATGCAAAATATTACAAAGTTCTTTATATGACGAAATTTTCTGGAAAAACATATCGATTACTATTTAAGAAACATCTAGATACAAATATATCTTCTATTATTAAACTAACTGAATTCATTATACTTGAAGTACATTGGTTTTGCCTAACATCAATTATCAGAATCGAGACTCATTTCATCATATAAATCTTAACCGCTTCATGAAATATTAACGAACAAATGATCTTGATATTTTTTGAGAGTAAAATAGTGGTTCATCCAGTTATATTTAGGAAAAGAGGTCAGAAGCTCTATAAGGTTGGACTATTTTATAGTTTTCAGAACTGTTTTCACTTTTATTATCAAAATTACTATCAACCAAATGTTTTAACGTATCGTGTTAATCATTTTGAGATAAATGGACTTTCTCAGCATACGAGGGGAAAACCACGGTCCTCAAATACAACACGAACATTAATCCAACCACATTTGATGACGAAACTCTGGAAGATGTAGAATCCTTCACACACATGAGGAGCATCGTCGATGAATAAGGAGGATCAGATGCAGACGTAGGATTAGCAAAGCAAGAACACCATTCCTACAATCGAAGAACATATGGAACTCACAACAACTTTCAACTAATATCAAAGTCAGAATATTCAATACGAACGTCATGATATTTCTACTGTACGAAGCTTAAACTTGGAGAACTGCAACAACCATGATCAAGAAGGTACATGTATTTATAAATAGTTGTCTAAGCAGGATACTTAACATCCATTAGCCAGATACCATTAGCAACAGCCTTCTGTAGGAGAGAACCAACCAGTTTCCAGCTGAAGAAGAAATTGGGAAAAGACGATGGAAATGGATAGGACATACATTGCACAAATCATCAAACTGCACCACGAGACAAGCGCTAACTAGAAATCCTGGAGGGAAGCGGAAAAGAGGAAGGCCAAAGAACACATTACGTCGGGAAAGAATGAATAACAACTGGAAAGAGCTGTAAATGATTGCCCAGAACAGGGTTCAATGGAGAATGTTGGTGAGTGGCCTATGCTACTTCAAAAAGAGTAACAGGCTTAAGTAAGTAAGAAACTTTGGTAGTCACAAAAAACATTTTCCTGAAAATCAGTTTTTAACAAAACATAACCATTGGTTCAACTTATCTATCTCATTATCGGTTAGTAATTTTTATGAGTTACGGTGTGTTTTAAAACCAAATTTTGTTTGTATCGTAGATGATATACGAATAAAACGCAAAGTATTGACTTTTCTCTGATATAGTATAAAATTAACTATTGACCGTTTAACAAACTTGTTTTGCATTCAGTTACAGTTGTTAGATTTAATTATCTTCAAAATATACTTGTCGATAGAAGTCGCTTTAAATGCTTCAGTTAAAAAATTTAAAACTGTTGCCAAGTTTAGTGAGTTTGACATAAATACGTTAGGAACTGAATGAAGAGATTACGATGAAATCAGTGATACATATATATATAGCATAACTTTACTAATAATAAGGCACTAAGTACTGCTCCATATATTCATAACGGTAGTAAACTTTGTGAAGAGAATGTTTGTGTTATTATTTTCATGATTATTAATTGTTTTAACATTATTTAGCTTATAAAGCTTGTGACTTAAGGCCACATCGAGACAATCCGCACAGGATGCACATATGCCAACAAAAGACTGATCAATTGTAGTCCTAAATAACAATGGGAAGATACAAGTAAACAACATCATGTGAATTTAAAACTTCACCCCATCACACGAGCAGGTGGCTATTGGGACTCAGTAGCTAAGTGGATAACGCGATGGCGGTTGAAGCTAACGGTACTAGGTTTGAGTCTCAGAGTGAGCATCAACTTTGAGACGCAGGTACATCCAGCTGACGAGTTACAAATAGGACGAAACACACATCCTGGATTCCACTGCTAGCGACTAACCATCTTCGTTTCATATTAGAATGTTTGAATATTT